ATTTAACATATATATGTATATATGTATATATATATATATACATATAAAAAAAAAAAAAAAAAAAAAAAAAAAAAAGTACAAGACTTCAAAAAAAAATAACTTTTTAAACAAGTATTCTTTTTGATCCTTTAAATGTTATATAAAAAAGAATATAATATTAAGGTTCTGTAAAATAAACATATGTATATATTATTCATAAAAAATAACACAAATTAATATTATTATCTACCCATACATATATTTGTAAATATAATTTTTTTTTTTACAAACTGATCGTTATATGAGAAATATATGAAATGATATACAAAATGTATTTTTAGAAAAAAAAAATATTCTTCGAATATTTTAATTTTTTTTTTTTTTTTTTTTACAATTAAATGATAAATAATAAAGCAGAAATTAAAAATAAATGAAATAATATATTTTTTAATTTTCTTCATAAATATTATAGATACGCATATATATATATTTCCCATATTTTTTTTGATATTTAAATAATAGACAATATATATATATAATATGCAATAATGTACATAAAGCAAATAAGATTAAAAGGTTTTCGAACTTATAAAAATGAAACAGTAATTGATTTTACAAAAGGAATTAACTGTATAGGTATTTTTATAAATAGTTAAGATTTTCAAGTCAAAATAATTCCTTATTTTTATTTTATATATTTTTTTTTTTTTTTATTTCTTTCATGTTTATATATATTTTTAATTTTTCATATTAATGTATATTCTTTTTAATTGTAACATTTTATAGTTGGGTTTAATGGATCTGGTAAAAGCAACATTTTATTGGCAATTGAATTTATATTAAGTGATATGTGCGAATATAAAAATGTTTTTTTGCATGAAGGAATAGGAAACGCTGTTAGAAGTTGTTTTGTTGAGATAATTTTTGATAATTCAGAAAAATACTTTAGTATGTTTAAAGAAAATGAAATTAAAATAAAAAAAGTTTTAGAAAATATGAAGTGTGAAATATTTTTTAATGAAAAAAATATTAGTAAAAATCAATATGTTGAATTATTGGAAAGTTGTGGTTTATGTATTAATAACTTATATAATATTATTAAACAAGGACAAATAATCAAGTTAAGTAATATGAAAGATGAGGAAATTTTAAATTATTTAAAAAGTATATTGGGTGCAAAAATATTTGAAGAAAAAAAAAGAGATGCGTTATCAATGTTAAAAGAATGTGATTCTAAAAAAGAAACAATTGAAAAAGAGTTTAATGATATGAACACTAAATTAGAAAGTTTACAAGAAGAATTTGAGAAATTTTTAATATATAAAAAGTTGGAAAAAGAAAAAGTTCATCTGGAATATTTTCTAAATGAAATTAATTACAAAAATATCTATGAAGAAACACAAATTCTAAAATCAAAATTGCAAGAATTGAAAAATAAAATTCAAGATGAAGATAATATTTTAAATATGAGCAATAATTCTAAATCAGAATATACAGAAAAATTAAATAAAATGAAATTGGAAATAGTTTCATATCAAAATGAGTTAGATAAAACTGTTTCAGAAGAAATACAAAATAAAAGATACATTACACATTTGGAAATTTTAATTAATGAAAAAAAGAAAGAAAAAAGTTTAAAAGAATCTAAAAATAAAAGTAAAATTGAAAATATGAATCAAATTAATGAATTCATTTCAAGAGTTAATGGAAAATTACAAAATCTTAAATCTGTTATCAATATAAAGGAAAAGGAAATAGAGAATAAGAATAATGAAATAAATATGGTAATATTTTTAATTCTACAAATATATTGTTTTATTTATAGATTACAATAATAGAAAAAAAAAAAAAAAAAAAAAAATTTAAATAAAAAAATAAATTTTATTTTTTTTTCTTAGTTATTATCAAAAAATAAGATAGAAAATACAAAGGAGGGTAATTATTCTCATAATGTGAAAAAAATTGAAAAAATGATAAGTGATCTTAATAAAGAAATATCATTTTTAGAAAAAGAGGTTATATAAAAAAAAAAAAAAAATGAAGTAGGATATGTTTTTTTTTATAAATTTTAATAATTTTACTTTATTTTTAGGTAATAAAAAATGAAAAATATTTAGGAGAGTTAGAAGAGGAATCTAAACTTTTAAATACAAATATTAAAGAAAATGAAGCTTTATCTAAAAAATATATCGATGAAATAAATGAATTAAATAATGTAAAATTAAAAAATTTTAAATCATAGAAAAATATGGAAACTTATTTTAGTATCATGTAATTTTTTTTTTTTTAATACATTTTTATAGAAATCTGAATCTTACGTTGAACAAAAAAGACAATGTCAACAAAAAATATCAGAAGGAACAACAAATTTGAATAACATCAAAAGTCAAATAATTGAAGTTAATGGTAGATAATTTTGTAAAATGAAATGTTTTTTCAGATATTTATATATGTATTACGTTATTATATACTTTTTTAGATAAATATGATGAAATAATAAAAAGTTCAAATAAAGAAATTGTTAAAATTGTAGAACTTATTTTAGAAGACACAAGCATAAATAATGACAATATTATAGGATTTTTAATTGATAATATAAATGTTATAAATTTAAATTATACTAATAAATAAAATATTCAATAAACTGTTATATTAGAAATATATATATATATATATGATTTATTATTTTTTTTTATTTTATATAGGTAGATAAAACATATATTAAAGCTGTTGATACAATTTTGGAAAATCATTATTTTACTTTAATTGTTAAGGATATGAAAACAGCGAAAAAAATAATTGAATTTATAGAAAAAATAAAGGAAGAAAAAAAAACTAAGGAATTTGATTTTAAAGATTTTTTCTTTGGAAAATTAACTATAGTGCCTTTATTAAATATAAAAAAATTTAATGAATTCATTTATCCTAATGATAAAAACATTATTCCTTTAATAAATTGTATAAATTACGATAGTAAAATATATGAATTTTTAAAAAATATTTTATTTAAAACTGTCATTGTGAAATCATTAGAGTCTTGCCAGAATTATTTAGAAGATAATTATAATTGTGTAAATATTGATGGAGATTATGTAAGATATATATAAAATATATTACATGTATATATTCATAATCATATAATATCATTTATATAAAAGTGTCTCAATCTATACATGTATTTTTTTTTATTATTTTTTAATAACACCATATTTTATTTTTGAATTTTAATAATATTAACTGACCTTATTCATATTTATTTATTTATTTTTTTTTTTTTTTATGTACAGTTAAGCAAGCATGGTTTTATGTATGGTGGATATAATAAAAAAAAATATGGCATTTACACAATTTACAATAAGTTAAAAGAATTAAAAAAAGAAGAAAAAAATGAGAAAATTAATATTGAAGAATTATATAGTAGTATTGAAAAAATAGATGATGAATTAAGAGTTCTTTATGATAAGAAATCAGTTTCGTTAGCTCAAAAAAATGGGTGTGTAGCAACTCTTAATTCAATTACTAACAATGTTCATATAAATGAAGAAAACATTAGAACTACAAATGAAAAAATAAAGTCACTGAAGGAAAAAAAAGAAAGTCTTGAAGAATACAAAGATAAATTAAAAGTACAAATATTGCATTTACGAAATAATAATGTAAATCCAGATGAATCAGAAAAAGAGTCTCTTGATATAAATTCATTAAATGATGAAGTAAAAAAATTAAAAGAAGAACTTAATAAAATTAGAAATGAATATGACGATTTTAAAAATAAGTTGGAATTGCTGTATCAGAAAAGAAATGAGGTAATTTTTTTGTATATTATTTTTACCTTATGTATTTAAATGAATAAATAACGAATATTTTAAAATTGTCTTCTTTATATTTAGAATGATTCTAAAATATTTATGGAAGAATATGAAGATTTAGATATCGATGAACACAATAAAGAATTAAATGATAAAAAAAACTTAATTGAGAAGGTAGGAATTTTTATATAATAAGAAAATTAAAATGAAATGAAATATACTTCTAACATGATGATTTATTATGTTTCTTTTTAGATTGAAAAAGATAAGATACATTGTGAACAAAAAATAAAACAACTTAATGTAAAGAAGAAAAAATAAGTATTAAAAGTTGTATTAAATATTCCAATTTATTTTTTTTCTTTTTTCATTTTTCTTTTTTTTTAATAGAAAGAAATAGAAAACATAAAATCAAGCTTAGATAAAATTTTAATAAATGAGAAGAAGCATAAAAAAAAAATATTAGACTTATGTCATCAGATGAATCAAATAAATGAAGAGCTTAGAATTTTAGAGTAGAATTATATATATATATATATATGTATATATGAAATAATACAATTATTAAATATTTTTATTATATTTATAGAGGAAAGGAAGAAAATATAAGAAAGAAAAAAATTCTGTTACCTCAAGAGTCAAAAGAATTAGAAGAATATAAAAATTATAATAAGGCACAATTATCTGCAAAACTCAAATCAGTAACACTTGTAAGAATTATATGAAATGAATATAACTAAATTCTTTTCTTTTTTTTATCTCTCTCTCTCTATATATATAAATATATAATTTTATAGGAGATAAAAAAATATTCAAATGTGAATGAAAAAGCAGGAGATAGATTAAATATTCTCATGGGTATGTTCTTATTCAAAAAGAAAAAAAATTACAGAAAATATTTTAATAAAGAATTGATGTTTCTTCTAATTTGATATTCCTTTTATCATTAATTATTATTTATTATTTATTTTTTTAAGCTGATTTTAATGAACTGAAGAAAAGGAATGAAGAAATAACTGCATCTTATAGAAATATTAAAGATATGATACAAGTATAGATAATTAGTAAAAGCAAGTATGTTTTAATTTATAAAAGTGTAAATTTTATTTTGTTTTTTTTTTTTTTTGAAGCAAATAGGAAAAAAAAAGGATGAAGCTCTAGAGGCAACCTATATTAAAATAAATAAATATTTTTCTGAATACTTTTCTTTACTTTTTAAAAATAGAAAAGCAAATTTGGTTATAATATATATATATATATATATATATTTATATATGCATATTTTAATGTAAAAAATATTTATTTATAATTTACTGTCAGGTTCTAAAAAAAATGAGCGAAAAGGAATATAAAGATAAGTTAAAGGAAATGAATGAAAGAAAGATAAAAAAAAAAATAATTGATGAAGAAGGTAAAGAAAAGCAAAACAAATATATATATATTAGAAGAGATATAAATACAATAAACTTTTTACAATTATTATTTATTACAGCATATGTTGATAAAATCACAGGAATATCAATAAACATTACTTCAAATGATGATGATAAAATGACTTATACAATTCAAGAATTGTCTGGTAATTAAATAGGATATTTAATATATATATATATATATATATATATATATATATATATTTATGTATGGCTTTTTTTTTTTTCTTTTTTTTAAATAAATATAAAAAAAATTTAATTATTTTTGTTTGCATATATTATTATTATATATATTTTTTTTTTTTTACTAGGAGGAGAAAGGAGCATTGTTGCTATTTGCTTATTTTTATGCTTAAATAAAATTGATAATTTTTCCTTTTTCTTTTTTGATGAAATAGATGCAGCTTTAGATACAATTCATAGAGATAATCTTTCATTATTGTATGATAAAAATAAAAAGAAATAAATTAAAAAAATAATTACACTTATTTCTATTTTATTTTTCTTTTACAGATTAAAAGAACTAGCTAATAGAGGAACGCAATTCATAATTACAACTTTTAGGTATATTAAATAAAAGAGATAAATAAAAAAAAAAAAAAATAAATAAAATAAAATAACAGAAACATATATTTATGCTTATAATTCATTTTAATTTTTTTTTTTTTTATTTTTTGAAATAAAGAAAAGAGCTACTAGAATATTGTGAAAATCTTTATATAGTAAAAATAATAGATCGAGAAAGTTATATATCTAAAGGAACAAAAAAGGATGCATACGATATAATCAGCATTGTAATGAAATTATTTTGAAAAATTTATGAATATATATACATTAATACACATTTTATTTTTTTGAATAAAAAAATATAAAAATAATTTAGTGTACACCAAAAATAAATTTTATAAAAAATGCACTTAATTGTTATTTCTAATTTTTTTATTTATTCTTTTTTTTTTTTTTTTTTTTCTAGGAAGAAAAAAATGCTTTAGAAAATTAGATCATTTTCTTTTTTTATATGGAAAAAAAATTTTAGATAATTATCAGCTTATTAATTTATTTTATTTTATTTTTTTTTTATTTTGTAAAGTTAAAAATTATTCACTTTATTACTTTTATTTATTTTAAATTGTGTGCATGAAATTTATATTCTTTTTTTTTTTCGTAACAAAAATATTTAAAAAAATATATTTTTTGACATAATATTAACGTATACTTTAAACTTTACCATTATAAGTAAAAACATATATAAAATAAATAAATATATGTATTGGAAATAAAGGAAAAAGTTTTCTTACATATTTTATCATTTTTTTTTTTTTATAATTCATTTAAAAACCAAAATATGACTGATATTAAAAATATAATATCCTCTATTTCTACTAATATAAATGAACCTACGAAAGAAGATGTTATTTATTTAGGCGAATGTAGTGTAACGTAATCATTATAAAGAGATCTAAAAAAAAAAAAAAAATATGAATGAATGAAATATTATAATAATGATATAAAAATATTACAGGAACTTAGTGATAAAGCATATTAATAATTTTTTTTTTTAAATAAATGTTTATTTGAAAATACACTTTAACCATATTTTATTATATAATAATATATTATGTATTTTAGAAGAATAATATATTTGAGTGATAAATTTTTTATTGATATATTTATATGTATATACATATATTTATATATATATATATACATATATTTATATATATATTTTTTTTTAACAGAGGACATAAAGATTTTTTTGAGGATGGAATATTTATTGATTTATTATCTTTTGAGAGCTTTAGTTTGAATTGTTTAAAATATAATTATAATAGAATAAATAAAATAAATGAAAGTAAGAAGCACAGATTTTATTTAAATATTAAAAAAATAAAAAAATTGTTAGACACAGTAGAAAAAAGTGAAGTAAGAAATCTAAATATTAATTGCGAAGGTGGTTTTAATGAAAAGAAGGTGTATGAATATGAATTTGAATATTCTGTTTATGATTTGGAGACTCAAAGTTATATAAAATTAGAGGATTTGGATGATAATATAAGAAAAATATGTAACAGTATAATAAATCATAAGAATGAAGTAAAGAAAGAAAATTTAAATAAATGGATTAATGAAATAAAAGAAAGTAAGTATGCAAAAAATTTAATACAGCTTCCTAATATTAAAATAAAAAATGAAAACTTACAATGTGCAGTTTGTAAATCTAAAAAAAATATTTGGTTAAATTTATCTGATGGATATATTGGTTGTGGTCGTAAAATTTTTAATTATGGTGGTGGTTGTTTAAATAATGAAGAAGGAGCATCATTAAAGCATTATTATGAAAGTGGAAAAAAATATCCTTTAGTTGTTAAAATTGGTACTATTACTAAAGAAGGGGAAGCAGATGTTTTTTCCTATGCAGATGATGAAAATGATAGTGTAATAGATCCTTTTATAGATGTACATTTAAAAAACTTAGGTATAAATATTATGAATTTAGAAAAAACTGAAATAACTACATTAGAGAAGGAAATAAAAGAAAATCAAAATATTAATTTTTCTTCTATACTTGATAAAAATGTACAAACAATTTGCGAACAAGGGAAGATAGGATTCATAAATTTGGGTAATACTTGTTATATGAATTGTGCGTTGCAAGTTTTATTATCTATTAAAGATATAAGTTATAGATATCTAAATAATATTTATGATTTTTTATTAAGTTTAGATTGTAAAAAGAAAACACATGAAGATTTATTTTTACAATATGCTAAGTTATGTTATATGATATTTCAGAAAGATTATATAAAAAAAAAAAAAAAATATATTAAAAATTTTAAAGAACAATGTTTAGAAAGAAATATAGAAGTAAATTATGATAGTGATATTGATGAAGAAAATTGCGTAAGTGTTGATCCATCTATGTTTCGCAATTGTATTAATCAAAAGAGTAATTCTTTTTGTAACAATAGTCAACAAGATATTTATGAATATTTGTCATATCTAATCAATGAGTTAATAGATAATGAAAATAATATATTTGAAAGAATATTAAAAAATAGTAATAAAAGAAAATTGAATGAAACGGAAGATAATAAAACTGAAAACAAAAAAGTAGATTCCTCTGAATCTTCTAATTCTCTAAATGGAATTTCTAAAATAAAAAATGAAAGGTCACTTTTTAATTATTTCACTTTTGAAATAGAACAAACGATAATCAGTGATGAAAATAATAAAAGTGTAAGCTCTTTTCAAAATATTATACTATCTTTAGATATTCCAATAGACAGCTCAATATTAAAAGGTAGTGAAGATGATTTAAAAAATATAAAAATTTCTTTAATGGATTGTTTAAAAAATTATATTAAGAGAGATAATATAGAGGAATACTACTGTCAAAAAGAAAAAAAAAGAACATGTGCTCAGAAATATATGAAATTTAAAACGTTTCCTCCTTATCTTTTTATTCATCTTAAGCGTTTTTATGCGGATGAAAATTGGTGTGCAAAAAAAATTAATATATCTGTTGAAACAGATGAATATTTAAATATTGAATTTATGAGAACTGAATCAAACTTAAACAGTGGTACCAATGAAAGTATTAATTGTGAAAATCATAACAATGAAAATTTAAATGATGAAAGTAAAATTTTAGAAGAATATAAACATGTATTAGAATCTTTATTAAATTTAGGTTTTGAAAATGATAAAGCAGTGGAAGCCATTAGAAAAGTTAAAGTAAAAAATGTTGAAAACTGTATATCTTATATTTATGGTGAGGATTCAGTAGAATTAGACAATAAATCAAGTTATCAGAAATCAGAAATAAATTCTAGCAATTTAGATTCTATTATTAGTCTAGGAGTAAAAAAAGAAGTAGCTATGGCATCTCTTTTAATAAATAAAAATGACTTACAAAAATCTATTGATTACATATTTTCAAATTTAGATGTATTAACAGAATCCAAATGCAATTTAATTATAAATAGTCACAAATGTAATGATGGTTTAGGTAAAAAACATAAAAATATACACATTGAAAAATATTATATATAATATATTAAAAAAAGTGCCCTTAAAAAGACTATTCAAAAATAAAAAATTTTTTTTTTTAAAATTAATAAATATACATTTATATGCTTTTTTTTTTTTTTTTTTTTTTTTTTTAATAGCTAATTATGAATTAATAGCATCAATAGTACATATAGGAAATAATGCCAATTCTGGTCATTATGTATGCTATATAAAAGATGATTCTCAGTAAATATTAAAACATGAAATAAAAATATAAAAAAAAAAAATACATTTTTTTTTCTCTTAAAAATTCATATATACATAATTTTTTTTTTTTAAGGTGGTATGTATGTAATGACAATAAAATTGGATTATGTAATGAAAATTTAGGAAAAGATACGGGATATATTCATTTATACAAAAGAGTATAAATATAAATTATAATATTTTTTCTTAATATTTTTTGTTATTTTACTTTATTTTATTCAATTTTTTTTTTTTTTTTTTTTAATTCATTTTTATACTTTTACGCAAATGTTACTTTAATATCAAATACTACAAAAAAAAAAAAAAAAAAAAAAAAAACAAATTTTACAAAGTTCTATAGTTAGAAAAAATAAACTTATTAAAGAAAATTATATACATAAAAAATTTTTGGAATAAAAATAAATCATAACAAAAATTTTATGTTTATAAATTATTTTTTTGGGTATTTAAATAAATTCCTCTAGCTATAGAAGAAGGAATTTGCAATATAGAATTAGGTATATTAGTTATTGTTTTATTAATTTTATTTATGATATGGCCAAAATACACATTATATGATTTTAAGTTTATTAGATCTTCTGTTTCCTTTTTATCTAAAACAGTATTTTCATAAACTGATAATTTTATGAAGTTATTAAGCTTATAATCTTTATATAATGAACCAAACATTTTATTACTATAAAGCGTAAAAGATATATAATTTTCATTCATTATGAATAAATAAACATTACTTTCTTTTAAATATGGTGTAATAGCTTCAAATGGGGTATTTTTTACTGAAATTTTCATTAAAGTGTTTTTAACCATATGCATACGCACATGAGGTCTAGGCATATTTATAAGTAAATCCATTCTTAAATTTGGTGTTAATTTAAAACTGTTTAATTGAATTAGTAACTTTGTCACTTTTAAAATTCTCCTTACTTTCCTAACGGTTTCTTCTTTTCCTTCTCTTGTATTTCTGTATCCATCACATTTTCTACTTTTTAACGAAAAATTTATATTTTTGCATATCTTTTTTTTTTCAATTGAATTTTTAATAAAAACACCTTTTAGGAAACATATAATATCTTTTGTTCTTAATAATGTACCTTTCTTTTTTATTGATGATGCTGATATAATTAAAGATTTTTTATATATGTTATAATTTTCAAACTTTTTTGAATAATCAGTAAATATATCATAAATGAAATACAATAATAATAAAAATAATATATATTTAGTTTTTATTTTTTTTATAAACATTATATATATATATCATCATTTATTTTAGAAAAAAAAAAAGAAAAATATAAAGTGTTCTCTTCATAGATTATGATGGTTCCCTTTTACATTATTTTATATTTTTTTTTTATTTTATACAAAATATTTTTTTATGTAATTTTTTTTAGTTCATTTTTTATATTAATTTTTCTTTTATCTTTTATCTTTTATCTTTTGATAACCTCTTTAAGTATTTTGTATTCTCAAAGCATGTATCTTTTTTTTTTTACAATATATGTTTTAATATGTTTTTACATATGAATATGTTGAAATATAAATTGAAGCAGCTTTAATTTATTATTAGTAAACTATTTAGTTAACAGCTTAGAAAAATTGAAAAAAAAAAAAAAAAAAAAAACCACTATATAGTATTATTATTTTTATAAAGAAGGCAGAAAATCATAGAATTAACTCATCACTATAAAAAAAAAAAATGAAAAAGTAAATATGTATTTTTATTAAATATATAAATTCACATTAATTATATAATTTGTTTTATTTTCATTTAAAAAATTGTGTTTTTTTAATATTTATTAATGTATAAGTATATTTACATATGTATTCGTAATTTAAAAATTTTTTAACAAAAAAAATATCTTAAAGTTGTAATTATAGGAAAATTAAATTATTTTAAACTAATTGCATGTATATTTTTTATAACCTTATATTTTTATTAAAAATATATATATCCATATATTGAGGTGTGAATATTTGATATGAACAGAATTTTAAAGTTTTACAATTAAAAAAATGTTAATTGTGAAATGAGTGTTAAAAAAAAAATTTTTAACTTAATAAATATTAGAATTATTAAAATTGTGTATATATAACAATTCAAAAATTAAAAATAAAGATTTTTTAAATAAAAAAGCAAAAATTGAATTATCCAAATAAAAAAATATATGTATCAAAGGTTAAATCTTGCTTATGTTATTAATGTTAGAAAAACAGAAAATAAAGAATAAAAGTAAGGTACTTTAGAATCGAGGATAAGTATTTTAATTATCTTAAAAATATATATCAAATTGTTAATTTTAAAAAATATAAATATACAAAAAAAAAAAAGAATGTAAAAAAAAAAAAACAAAATATGGAAAAAGAATGTGAAAGTATAAAAAGTGATATAGATGGTGAAGAAAATGAAATAGAAATAAATGAAATATATAATAAGAGTAGTTTTATTAATAGTAGAGGGGCAAGATTAATACGAATAATGTCTGAGTTTGTTGGTGTGCAAGATGCATTAAAAGATGAGGGTATTTTTTTTACTGTTGTAGTTTTTGGTTCATCCAGATCACTAAGCAAAGAAAAATATGAATCAAAAAAAAATGATCTTGAAAAAAAGTTGGAGAATTTTAATGAAAAAATAAAAAGTAATATTGAATTAGTAGATGAGGAACTGAAAGAATATAACCATATAAAAAAGGAATTAGAAGATCTCGAAAAATTAAAATGGACTATTGAATTTTATAAAAAAATATATGAACTTTCAAAAATGTTAACTTTTTTTTTTAGTACTGATGAGGGTCAAAAAGCAGTGAATAATATATCATCCCATTTGCCGAAAGTTCATAATTTTTTACCTAATAAAAAGGAACAGAAAACCCCCAACATTTTTACTGTTGCTATATGTACAGGAGGTGGACCAGGATTTATGGAGGCAGCAAATAAAGGAAGTAAAGATGCAGGTGGGAAATCTATAGGTTTCATGATTTCCTTACCTTTTGAAAAGGGGGCTAATCCTTATGTTGATAAAAGTTTGTCATTTAAATTTCATTATTTTTTTACAAGAAAATTTTGGCTGGTTTATTTATCGTTAGCTTTTATTATATTACCTGGAGGTTTTGGAACACTGGATGAAATGATGGAAATATTGACTTTAAAACAATGTAAGAAATTTAAAAGAGATGTACCCATTGTTCTACTTGGAAAACAATTCTGGTTTGATGTTTTGAATTTTCAAAAGTTAGTTGATTATGGTGTTATATCTCAAACGGATTTAGATAGTATATTTATTACTGATTGTGTTGATGAAGCTTATAATTTTGTAATTAGTCATTTAAAAAATACTCCCTGTTTATCTAATAGTTTATAATATTTTAATTAAATATTATATAAAAATATTAGTAAATTCATAAATAATTAGATATATTTGCCATTTATTAAAAATAAAAATATGTAATTTTAGATAATATTCTGATAAAATTTATTTTCCTCATCAATATATATACACTTTTGTAAAAATTACATATTTGTATCATTTTTCTATTATGTGTTTAAAATCATAATTTTCCTAAACATGAATTTATCTTATTTATTTTTTCTTTTTAGAAATATTTTTTTAACAATTTTTTAATTTTTTATCATATAAACATGTTTCACTTGGAATTACTATTCGATGCTTTTCCTTTTTTAATTTTACTTTTCATTTTACTGAAATATATTTTATTTTTAAGTTAAAATTTAGCTTTTACATACTTATATATTTTATTTGCTTTGAATAATATATATGTTAATTTTAATAAATTATATTATTTTAATCAAATAAAATTATATACTTAATTATATATATATATATATATGTTTTTTAAAGAACTTTTAATTCTAATTATATTATAAAAATAATTTTTGCTTAAACTTAATTTGTTATATATATAATAGTGATACTTAAACTATATATATTGCAAATATAAAAAAAAAAATGAAAGGTATTTCAATTAAATTTTTTAAAAATTGAAAGTAAACATAAAAAAACAAAATTAAAATACACCTTTCTTTTAATATGAACTCAAAATATTATGAAAATTTAAAAATTTTAATATTTGATTAAGTATCTCTTTATTTTAATTTTTTTTTTTTTTTTTTTTTTTTTTTTTATCCATATAACACGCAACATAATTTTAAATTATAATATTTTTTAAAAATTAATTGAACTATAAAAAATCCGAAGTATTTTCAAGAAAAAAAATATCCATGATTAAATTTTTCCTTCTTTTAAATATAACATGAGTAATTTTAAAAATCAAAAGAGAAGAAAAAACAAGTTAAACAAAAATAAGAAAAATGGAAAGCTTTAATAAAAATACCGTAGAAGAAGATTACTATTTAAAGTTGAAAAATTTAAAAAAACAAATTGATATTTTAAATATTCAAGTACTAAAAAAAAAAAAAAAAAAAAAAAAAAAAATTATATCCATCAAATATATGTAACTATCACAAAATATATTTTTGTTTTAAATTTTTTTTTTTTTTTTTGTTTTACACACCTTTATTTTGTTTAATTTTCATTATAATGGAATATATATTGCTATGAATTTAATTTTTATTAAATTTTTTTTTTAAATAATTAATTCTAAAAGCATAAATATGCAGTTATTTATTTTAAAATAAATATATATATTTCCTTTTGATTATTTGTATAGGAAGAATATATCAAAGAGGAGCATAAAAATTTGAAAAGAGAATTAATAAGATCAAAAAATGAAATAAAAAGAATACAAAGTGTCCCATTAATAATAGGTCAATTTTTAGATATTATAGACAATAATTATGGAATAGTTAGTAGTACTGCAGGTTCTAATTATTATGTAAGAATATTATCAACATTAAACAAGGAGGATCTTAAACCATCAGTAAGTGTAGCATTGCATAGACATAGTCATTCAATAGTAAATATTTTACCATCAGAATCAGATAGTAGTATACAATTATTACAAGTAACAGAAAAACCAAATGTTAAATATACAGATTTAGGTGGTTTAGATACACAAAAACAAGAGATGAAAGAGGCAGTTGAATTACCATTAACATGTCCTGAATTATATGAAAAAATAGGTATAGAACCACCTATGGGAATATTAATTTATGGTCCACCTGGTACTGGAAAAACAATGTTAGTTAAAGCCGTTGCTAATGAGACAAAAGTTACTTTTATAGGAGTTGTTGGTTCAGAATTTGTCCAAAAATATTTAGGAGAAGGACCAAGAATGGTTCGTGATGTTTTTAGGTTAGCAAGAGAAAATTCACCATCAATTATTTTTATTGATGAAGTTGATGCAATTGCTACGAAAAGATTTGATGCGCAAACAGGTGCTGATAGAGAAGTTCAAAGAATACTATTAGAATTATTAAATCAAATGGATGGTTTTGACAAATCAACAAATGTTAAAGTTATTATGGCTACTAATAGAGCTGATACATTAGATCCAGCATTACTGAGACCAGGAAGATTAGATAGAAAAATAGAATTTCCCTTACCAGATAGAAAACAAAAAAGGTTAATTTTTCAAACTATTATTAGTAAAATGAATGTTAGTAGTGACGTTAATATTGAAAATTTTGTAGTCAGAACTGATAAAATTAGTGCAGCTGATATTGCTGCTATAGCACAAGAAGCTGGTATGCAAGCCATTAGAAAAAATCGTTATATTATCACTGCTAATGATTTTGAACAGGGTTATAGAACTCATGTTAGAAAACAATTAAGAGATTATGAATTTTATAATATATAAATAATAATAAAATAGTATCAATAAAATATAAACATTACATATATATATATATATGTAATGTTTATATTTTATTATTTTTTTTTTTTTTTTTTTGCATTACAAAGTTTTTAAAACTAACATAAATTTAAAATTTTTTTTTTATGAAGATATAAACAAATATTTCCTTTTTTTTTTTTTATATATAATATACTACTAAACATATATACTGAGAAGTAATATTTTATTTGAATTTATAAAATTTTACATCTTTTTGCTATTTATTATTTTATTTTCTTACATTAACGTAATAGAACAAATTATAATTTTACGATTCCGCATATTTCTATCTATATATATATATATATTTTAAATTATTTATTTTTACTAAAAAAAAAAAATTTAAGTTTTCCATAAAGGTAAAAAATATATACTAAAAATTTTTTTTTATTTGATATTTAACCAAAATAAATAAAGGTATTATTATATATTTCATTTATGTAAAAATAAAAAATCTTAAAAATAGTTCATATATTATTTTCTTCCTTTTCTGTATAAACCTAATAATCATGGATAAAATGTTAAAGAATCACATAAAAATATAAAAATTATAAAAAGGAAATAAAGATATTTCACATATAATATTATCAAAAATATTTTAATAAATAACATATATATATATATGTATTTTTAAATTAGATTAAAAATAAGTAACACTTTCAAAAGGGAGGTGAGAAACAGAACCAAATTCTCTTAATATAACAGATCCTTCTTCATCTAAAACTAGCCAAGTAATACCACAATTATAACTTGAAAATCTTAACCAAGCAAATAATGGTAGTTGTAAGGCTCTACATAAAAAATATCTTATAACATTTCCATGACAAATTACTAATTGATACTCATCTTCATCACCACTAGGTTGGTAAAAATAAGTTTCGTAAGCCTTATTTATTCTTTTATTATCTTCTTTAATTTTTTGTGCATCAAATATAGAGTTTTTAGGAATAGGATCAGGTAAATAAGGAGTACCTTCATTTAAGTTAGGATCATTTATTAATTTTGCATCAGGAAAATATTTACTTATTATTTGTGCTGTTTCTTTAGCTCTTATCATATTTGAATGATAAATAGTACTAATTTTTTTATTATTTAATATATCTTTTAATTTTTTTCCTGTTATTTCAGCTTGATTGCATCCTTCTTTAGTTAAGCGTTTTGATTCTTCATTATCTTTATATTTCCTTTCATATTGACCATGTCTAACTAATATAATATTTTTCAATACAGTTTTATCTTTTTTGCCTTCATTTTTTCCCTTTTCCTTCTTTTCAATACTTTTTAAGTTTGGATTATAATAATAATCATACTTATAATTCCATTTATAAAGAACATATTTTTCATATACATATGTGAGTAATACTGATAAAGATATTGAGGTAACAGTTGTATAAAATATATATTTCTTTTTATTTTCTTTCACATATTTAACTTCAATGTTCTTTTTTGCTTCAGTAAATTTTCTTTTAAAAAAAAAATTACTTCTTGCATTTTTTGTGAAATTTAATTTATTGAAAAATTTTTGATACATTTTCACTATACCTTTTAGTGTATCTTCAAATATTTAAATTTTTATTAAGATATTTATATCAAAATATATTTTTTTTTTTTTTTTTTTTTTTTGTAAGAAAATAAATTACAACAAATTTCTTCATTAAAAGGTGTATACAAATTTAAATATAAAGTTTTTAAAACTTTATATATTTAGAAATATTTTTAAATGTTTTTTTATTTTTAATATTTATTTTAAAATACATTTTATATGATTTTTTTTTTTTTTTTTTTTATTCATACATGTATATATATATATATATTCTATTGGGCTTATAAATAATAATAAACTTAATAGTGCACAAAAAGTGAGCATAAAAAAAAAAAAAAAAAAAAAAATTAGTAAAATTATTGATAATAATAAATAATAATGAAATAATTTTTATTTGTATAAATATTATAAAAAAAATTTAGTGCACTTTCATATTCCTTTTAATTGAATAAAAGTTATTTTTTTGTAAAGTTGTGACAAAAACAAAAATATGATATCATAAAAAGTAAAGAATAAAAATATATAATGTTTAGTTTTATTTTATTCTTTTTTTTTATTTTTTCTATTGAAATTTATCAATTTAGATAAATTATAGTTAAAAATAAAAAAAAAAAAAAAAAATATTTTATTTTATAAAAAATTTAATAAAAATATTTTAGAAATAGTTCAAAACATTATGAATTAAAAAACTAGAAAAAATTAAATAAATATCTAAAATTTAAATATATTATTATTATTTTTCTTCCTATTATTAGAATTTTATTATTACTATTAGGTATAATGAATTATTTTCAAGTATTAATTATATTTTGTCGAAAAAAAGAAAAGAAATATTAAATTAGTCTTATATTAATATATAGTAATTTCTATTAATAATTCCTTCCATAATTTAGATAATACGAATATGAAAACTGTAACATTATAGAAATTCCTATTATAATATATACATAATTTTTAAATATTTTTTCTGTTAATTTTTCATCATATTAAAACCAAATTACAAGTATTCTTCTTTTTTAATATATCTTATTCATATTAAGCACTATTTTCTAAAACATCCTTTAAATCTAATTTAAAAGCACTCATAAGAATTTGATCAAATATATATGTAGATTTATTATAAGTACAATTATTACTTAATAAATTATAAGAATTTAATGATCCAGTTGAATTAAAAACAAAATTTGTATTTTTTTTTAGATTAAAAATCATATTAATGTCAGGATCACCATAATAACTTCTAAAATATCCGTCTTTGTGAAAAACAAAAGGTGTATGATGAATACTTTTTACTCTATTTGTAAATTTTCTTATCTTAAAAAAAAAAAAAAAAAAAGTAAAAATTAATATTGATATAAATAAATGAAAAAAAAAAAGGAAAAGGAAAAAGAAAAAGAAAATAAAAAACAAAGTTTAAATTTTTTTTTATTTTTACTTGATCATCAACAATTTTATTTGTATATTTATGAATCAAAAAATGAAAAAATGGAATATAAGTTCTGTGACCTGTTTCCCAATATATATTATTTTGCTGCAAAAAGTAAGGATTTTCTGTATCGGAAGATTTTAATGAATTTTCAATCATTTCATCAATCATTTCTTCATTCATTTTTTAAAAATTTTTATAATATTTTTAATATAAAAATTATAAATACTAATGTATCTTTTTTGTAGATAAATTTATATATATATATATATATATATATATATATATAAATTAATGATAAAAATAGAAGAAAAATATTTTTCTTTTATATTAATATAAAAAAAATTATTGATTATAATAAAAATAAAAGTAATAAAATTCTTATAGATACATTATATATATTAATTTTACAATTTAAAAAAAAAAAAAAAAAAAAAAAAAAAAAATAATATTCATGCAATAAGCGAACATGCATATAGGTATATATTTAATTGCACATTAATTATGTTTCTAAAATTTTTTTTTTTTTATTAGGATTTTTCTAGTTTTTAAAAGAACTAAAAAAATTTCTTAAAAGAAATTAATAAATTATTTTAGAGAAAATAATGAAAGATAAAGATAAATAAAAATTTTAATTATTCGAATAAAATATTTTTTTTTTCAAGGTATATTTTTTGTCTTGAATTTTAATTTAGATGCATCATTTTTAAAGTATTTTTTAAGTGTCAAAAAAATAAAACATTAGATTAAACAAATATGAACAAATTTAAAGAATAAAATGAAAACAATATATGTTAATTTTAAAATTATATTGAATATTTTTTAAAAAAAAAAGAAATAAAAATTATATTAATTAATCTTTAATTAATCATTTCTTAAACCTGATACATTTTAAATATATTTTTTTTTTTGTACCAATTTTTTAAAATTTCAGTATTTTCTTTTTTTGTTCCGTTTTAAAAAATTTTTAGTTTAATTGTTTTTTCTTTTTTTAAGGTTTTTAAATATTATTTAAAAAAAAAAATAGAGATACATATCAATTATTTCTATTAACTAATTGGAGAATGGCAGAAAAAAAGATAGACGATTCTCCTTTTCTTTCAAAAATGGAAACTTTTGAAATATCAGATAAAAAAAATAAGAAATCAAAAAATGATATTAAGGATGGATATAAAAATTTAGAAAATGAATTTAACTTTGATGAAGAAAAAGTAGAGAATAATGAACAAGAGAAAGAAAAAATAAATAAGGATAATGATAAAAAAGAAGTTAATATAAGAACTATTAAAATTGACAGAAAAAACTTAAAAAAAATGTTCAGTAGTCAATTTTTTACTCAGACGTTAACTGATGATTCAAGTTCTGATACAGCCAATGTGTCAAAGCTAAATAAAAAATATTTCATTTGTGAATTCTTTAAAAGATTTTTTATAATACTACTATTTTTTATTACTTCCTTTTATGCAATATTTTATATATATAACAATTATTTTAATCGAAAACATATTTGTGGTAATCTAGATTTATATAATTATAAATATGATAATGAGGTACGTTTTGTTCCAAGTATTAGTAACACGAAATATTATGTTTTTACAGGTATAATAAAAAGATGTTTTAAAATAATATATATATATATATAATTATTTCTATTAATTTGTTTAAATAGTTTTTTATGATATTTCATTTTTTTTTTTTTTTTTTAAATAATTCTATTAAGGAAAATTTCCTTTTGATGTTATAACATATAAGTTAAGAAAAGATGTTTTAAAAAATAGCATGAATGAAGAATTAAAAAAATATAAGAGAGAAGATCAAACAGAAATTTATGAACAGATAGAAAACTTAGATGATCATCAAATTCAAATTTTGTCTTTTACAAAATATAATAGTAAAATGAAATGTGAAAAAAAAATTTTGGATTTATATACCCCATTTTATTTAAAAACAACAGATGCCAATATCAAAAATTATGATTATGTATTAAGTGAAGTTAATTATAATTTCATAACAAATCCTTACAATATTCCAGAAAAAAAAGTTAGCATATATATACATATATAAAAAATAATGAGAACAGCTAAAAAAATTTTTTTTTTTTTTTTTTTTTTTATTTAGTTGTACATGGAACTTTTAAATTTTGTGAAAAAAAATGAAAACCAAAACAAAATTTGTTTTATTACTTCTTATTTAAAATCATTAAAAGAAGATGATAACTTAAGTAATAGGATGTTAAATGAAAATAATTTTACTAATGAATATTCTATGGATGAAAAATCAAATAACATAGATGATCCAAATAAATTTATGAATGATCCATCAAATAATAAAAGATACTTAAAAAATAGGAGTTCAAGTGAAGAGCAAGGACCATCATCATATCAAGAAAATAATTTTAGTAGTAATAATAATGATAATAATTTTAGTAGTAATAATAATGGTAATGGTAATAATTTTAGTAGTAATAATAATAGTAATGGTAATAATTTTAGTAGTAATAATAATAGTAATGGTAATAATTTTAGTAATAATAATAATGGTAATGGTAATAATTTTAATAGTACTATTTATAACAACAATAAAGTATCTCCAAAAAAAAAAATTATTTTTCTTTATGATTCTTATGGTAAAAATTGAAATTTAATAAAAAAAAATTATGTTTTCAAAAAGAAAATTTCTTTTATTTTTTCATTATTTCTTTTTTTTTATAGATAATAATTTGGTAAATTTAATTATTGCCATTTATAATATGCAATATGGAAATATATATAATAATTTAAAAGAATACTGGGAAGAGTTAAAAAAAAACTTTAGAATAATAAATGCTGAAGAAATTTATTTATTTGAATGGTTAACAGAAATTTTTAAAATAATGTTATCATTTTAAGTTTTCATCATTTTTACTTTTTATTTTTTATTTTTTATTTTTATTTATTTTTTTTTTAGGTACTGTTTAGCTATAAATTACAATATAATAGAAAATAATAATCAATTTAAGTTAAATTGTGTTGATCTTTTAAAATAAAAAAAAAAAAAAAAAAAAAAAAGGGAAGTTTTATCTATTTGACGGCTTGGCCCATTCCACCTTAAAAAAAAAAAAAAAGAAAAGAAAAGAAAATTATATTGAGTAGAAAAAAAAAAATATTATAAAATATATGTATATATTATATTTAAAATTTAAAATTTTAATTTTTTACACTTAAAAGTAGGTTTTCAAATCCGTGTCTATTTAATTTTTCAATAGCTCTTTTTGCTTCTTCTCTTTTAGAATATGTTATAAATGCAAAACCTTTTGAGTTTTGTGTTTCTCTAATAAAATTAAAAAAAAAAAAAAAAAAATATATATATATATATATCTTAAAGAAAAAATACTATTATTTTAAAATACACAAATATATAATTTACTTATGCTTGGCTAAAAACATTCTAACAATGTTTCCTACTCTTCCAAATAAATTCGATAATTCATTTTCCTGTTTTAAAAAAAAAAAAAATTACAATATTTTTATTGATTTAAAAAAATATATACATATATGTACATTTTTAATTTTTATGTAATATATATTTTTTAAAATATTTTAATTTTTTTTAATTTTTTTAATTTTTTTTAATTACATTAACATCTTCACTTAGGTTCGTTACACGAACAGTGCATTCTTTATTTTGAGTATCCTGTTAAAAAAAATAAAAATAAATTATATAAAATAAAAAAATTTACAAATGTAAAATTAAAAATTTTTTTTTTTTTTTTCTTTATTATATAATTATAAAAAAAAAAAATAAAATAAAATAAAAACATTTTATATAAATATATTAAATTTACGTGTGATCTATAGTACAATCCGTCTCTTCTAGTTGCATTTTTGCTAGTATCTTCAGCTTTAACTTCCTAAAAATTAAAAAAAAAAATATAACATTATAAAAAAAAAAAAGAAAAAAAAAAGAAAATTATATATTAATAAAAAATAATATTGAGAAAGTATATACATCAACTTCTTCATCTTTCAATATTTTAAATCTATTTTTTAAATCTTTCGTTGTTTTGTTTGTTTGTTCAGCAAATAAATAATCATATTCTGTGTCTTTTAAAAAATCTAATGGATTATTTTTTGGGACTTCTATATTTATTACGTCAGTAGGTTCTACTGTAACAGAATTATGCTGAAAGAAAAAAATATTACACACAAATATAAATATGTATATATATTTTTATTTAGAATAATTTTGTAAGATATGATTTATAATAAGAACATCAATAAACTATTTTTGTTTTCTTTTTTTTTCTGTTTTTATATATTACACAATCAACGTTAAATTTTTTTAAATTAAGTCTATTATTTATTTCTTTATTTAACTTTTTTTTTATAACAACTTCTTTAATTTTCTTTGTCACCTATAAAATATATTTAACATATATAGAATAAAAATGAGACAGCAAATCGATAAAAAATTTTGAGAAATGTTTATAATTACTTTGACTGTTTGCTTTTTTAAGTTTTCAGAATATTTAGTAACAACTTTTATTCCATTTTCGTAGTTTGTAAAGTAGGATAATTTTTTATTATTCTCTAAATCATCGTCTGCATCTATATCCTCCCATTTTTTTTCTTTAAAAAATTAAAAAAAAAAATTTTTAAATTTATATATATAATAAAAATATATTTTTTTATATATGTTTAATTTTATATATATATATATATATATATATGTTAGTCATTTATTTTATCTATTTTTATTTTTTTAAATTACTATTTTCATTATCAATTAATGATTCATCATCATCTACATCAATATCTGCCCACTTTTTTTCTAAAGATAGTAAGAAAAATAAGTGAAAAAAAAATATTAACATATAAGATATTTTTTGGTTTTTTTTTTTTTTTTTTTTTTTTTGGTGTTTGAGATATATAAACTTTTTTTGTTATTTTACCAGTTTGTATCATGTTTGCAAAGTTTTTCTGAAAATCGGAATATACAATTATATATTTTTTTTACTATTTTACTTTTTTTTTTTATTAAACTTTTTTTGATAGGTTATTTTTTCATTTCATTATATTTTTTTTTTTTTTTTTTTTTTTATTATTAATAATTTTATTTTAAATATTATATACGTGTTATTTGTTTATTTTTTTATTTTTTTTTTTTTCATTGCCAGCATATATTAAGAAGCGTGATATTTTTTTTTTTTATAGAATTTTTTTAAATAAAAATGAAGAAAAATTTTTATGCTTATTAAAAAGAGAAATTAAATATAGCAAGTAAAAAAAGAAATAAATTAAAATAACTTATTTGATTTACAAAAAAAAAATATCAAATCATTATGTTTTTCTAATATTATTAGAGATTAAAAGAATATAAATAAAAAAAATAAAAATACCATATGCACGTATACTAAAAATTTTTAAGTAGTTCTTTAATTACTTTTTAAAATATTTTATAGATACACTTAATTTATATAAAAAGGGAATTCAGATAATTAAAAAAAAAAAAAAAAAAAAGCCATTTATAAAAAAAAAAAAATGTCAAATAAAAATCAAAAAATATAAAAAATTTTGTATTTTTGTTCTTATTGACACATGAGTATTTGCTGGTAAGGGGCAGACAAAACGTTTGTAAATCCTAAAAAAAAAAAAAATAAATAAAATAAAAAAAAGTATAAGAAAATTATAATTAATGAAAAAAAAAAAAAAAAAAAAAAACTATTTTTTTTTTTTAACGAGTTTTTATAAGTTAACCTGAAAATAATATATCTTGAGGAACAAAAAAAAAAAGGAAGTGCATAATTTTATAAAAATATTTGCAGGGTGCTATTAAAGTAAAAATAGATAAATATAAAAAGAAGGTTTTAATGTTTCTTGGATAATTTGCATATTTATATAAGATGTAGAAAAAAATAGAAAACTTAATTACAGATTTAACATCACCTAAATAATAAAATTGAATTAATTGTTTTATTCTGTCTAATAATAAATTACTCATTAATGGATAATCTACTTGTAATCTTAGTAATAATTTTTTTTTGTCAACAAATTTTAAATCATCTATTTCTTTTTTTATTTTTTCTAGGTTTATATTGTTGTTTTTTAAAATTTTTTCAAATTCTTTATCAAAAGAATTAAATGATTCAATAATATCAACACCTTTTATAATATATTTTTTTTCTTCTAATTTTTTTAATAATTTTTTATATTCATTAAGCATAGTTATATATCCAAAGTATTTTAGTTTATCTTTTAAATTTTTAATTTTTTTATTTTCCTTTTCATGTTCATCATTTGTTTCTTCATTAAATATGTGAGGAAGTATAGGTATAAGACGAAAATTTAACAGTTTTATTTTTTTATCTTCAATTAAATTTTTTATAATTAAATGATCACTTAACGATTTATTTTCATAAAGTACTTCCTGAAACTCTGTTGGTATTCCATGTAATGTTTCAATTTTTTTTTTTAAATCCTTAATATTTGTATCTTCACTAACTGATAAAAAAAAACTTTTTTGAAAAATATTTGATTTATTATAATAATTAATCATTATTTTATATTTCCTTGTATCATTTTCTTTTGAATTATTCTTATTTCTAATTGTTTTAATTGGTATATTAGAGATACTCATGAAATTATTTTTTGTTAATTTGTTTCTATCATGTAATTTAATACTTCTGCATATGTATGTTAAAAAAAAATTGAATAAAATAAAATTGATAAAATTAAGCTTAAAAATCATCTTAAAATTGTTTTTTTTAATATTTTTAAAAAAAAAAAATATTTCTAAATAATTTTAAGGTAGATACCTTCTTTATCTGCAACATTTTTTTTAATTAAAATTATTGAGAATATGAAAAATTTTAGATTGATTAAAATTGACACTGTATTGTAATATTGTGCCAGTAAAATATAAATATATGAACTATTAAAAAAAAAAAAAAAAAAAATATTGAATATTTAAATTTCAAAAAATTTATTTTAATACTTAGGGATAAGGGGAAAAAAAAAAAAGATAATTCTTATATATTTTTTAATGTCAGAAAAGAAGAAAAAAATCAGCGCTTCTTCATCTTAAGAATATTCATTATATTAAATGAATAATTTCATATTACTGCATAACATAAAATATCATAAAAAACTTATATAAAGTTAATTTTTTTTTTTTTTTTTAAATATGTTATTTATTTGAATATAATTTAACTAAAAAATCTTATATTTTATATTTTTATATATGTAAAAATTACTCTGAATTAACTAGAAGCAATTTATTTTATTTTTTATTTATTCTTTATGCTACTGTTATTTTAAATATATAACAAAAAGACCTTATTTATAACATATAATTAATTTTTACAAATATTAACTGTATATCTGGATATAAGTTTCAGTTTAAATTTTTTTTTTTTCTTAAAAAAGAAACAAATATTTATGCTATAACACAACATTTTCACATTTGTGAAGAAAAAAAAACTTTAAATTTTTTATTTACTTTTTAGTAAAGGAAATATTTATTCTGTATTATTATGTAAAATTGAAAAAAAAAAATATAGGTATATTTTTTAAATTTGAAATAAATTCACACACACACAAAAAAAAAAAAAAAAAAAAAAAAAAGATAACTAATGTGCATTTATCTTGATATAAAGTTTATGTAATACTTCTATAATACTTTGAAAAATGTGAAAATTAAATGCTATAAAATTATGAATTTTATTTTATTTTTAAAAGCATAAATAAATATTTATAAATTGGATTTATTTTTGATTCGTATTTTCATTAAAATGGTCTTGTACTTCTTTTAAAATATCATTTTTTAATTTAACAAGGGTTTTGTATTCTTCAAAAAATAATGATAAATTTGATATACTTATAGAATCTAAGTTTTCTGTTTTTTCAAAATTTAAGTTTAAAGATTCAATTTTATTGACAATATTGTTGTACACATTTTTTTCATTAGAATATTTAATTAACTCATTTAATTTACCAGCTGCTTCTTGTAACTTTTTGTTACTTTCTTTAACTTCATTTAAATATAATTTCTCTGCCTCTGAAACTTTCTTTTTATATTCATCTTCTGATATATTTAAAAAAGTGGTTTTCCCTAGCTCTTTAATAAATTCAATTCCGCTACAAAATTGGGTAAAAGAATAAGCTTCTTCAGATACAAAGTGACTAGGATGTCTAAAATTCTGAATATACGCAATGTTTGAAATTAATTCAGGTGGATTAGTTTTAATTATAACAAAAATTAAAACAGGTAATACTTCATCAGCACATGGTAGTAACTCGTCATCGCTTTCTATTACTGTGTCAGTGTTTAAGTATTTTTTAGACAATTTTAAACTTTTATTTATATTGTCATTAGAGTTATTATTAAGAGTATCTTTATTTTCATTTTCCTCTAAATACTGATAGTTATTTTTATTTTGAACTTCTTCTGGATATTCGTAATCATTTGAGTTTTCATATGTTGTATCTCCTTTAGTATTATCTCCATTATTTCCTTCGATATTTTTTTTAGAGCTATTTATGTGGTTGTTTTCAATTATGTTTTTTATATATTTATTTATTAAGTCTTGCTTATTTTTTTCATCTATATTATCATCAAGGTTACTTTTATTATACTCACTGTTGCTGTTAAGCAATTTCTTTTTATTTATTTTATTTTTTTTATGATTTTTTTTTGCTTCATATAGAACTGACGTAACAATACGGCAACAATTTAAAATCATAATTAATTTATCATTGGGTGCTTTCATTTTTTGTATTCTTAAAAGCTCTCTTTGTGCAATTTGCAAACGATCTAAATTTATTTCTTCAATTACTTCTAAATGCTTTAATTCTACCCACTGTAAACAGTTTATTTTTGTATATATTTTTTCGTCTTCATCTTTATCCTTAGTATCCATCTGATACAAATGAAAGTATAATTTCTGCATAATAAATTTCTCATAGCCTTCTATTATCATATTTATTTGATATTTATTTAAATTTTTATAAATTTCTGAATTTAATAAAATAGGTTGTGTTTCACTTATAAAGTTGTGAATTTTATTTGCTGCTTTTTCTCTACTTAAATTTTGAGGAAATTTTAAAATAAAATTCTTTACTTTTTCAACTACATTTTTACAAGAAGGATGTTTTAAGCTTTCTAAAAAATTATTGTATAAAGTGTTTGGTCTCTTTTTAATTACTGAATTCGTTTCTAATGTGTTGTCACTATTTATATTTTCTTTTGGTGGAATATAAACAGACTTTTCATCTGATTCATTATTAATAATTATATTTTTTTCTAATATATTTTCTTTTTTAATGTATTCATTTTGTATAAAATCATGTGATGCATCACTAAAGAATTTTTTTTTTGAAAATAATTTTTTCTTAGACTTTTCATCATCTTCATCATAAGATTTTTTTTTTAAATTATAAAAATTTGTTTTATTTTTTTCACTTTCATTTCTTTTATTTAATTTTATTTCATCAAATCTTGTATTTTCCTTTTTTAACATTTTTTTATTTTCTGCATTTTTTTCTAATGTATCTTCATTTTTTTTTGAGTCATCTCTTTTTATAAATGATATAAAGATATCTTTAATTTTGCGACTTTTTTGTTGAATATTTGATCTACTTTTTGTTGTATTTTCTTCATATGAGTTTTTTATATTTTCTTCCTTTTCAATTTCTTCATTATTACTCTTACCTTGTTTAATATCTATAATTTTATCTATTTCTTCATTTTGTATAATATTTCTGTTTCTTTTAATTTCCTCTTCTATATATTTACTTTTTTCACTTTCTTTCTCTTTTTTTATTCTTTTTATAAATCCTTTTTTTGTCCAATCTTTTTCTATATCTTTTATCTCTGTTTTATTTTCATTATCCTTTGTTTTTGTCTTTCTTTCTTTTTCAATATATTTGGTTTCCATTTCTTCCTGTAATGGGGTATGGTGTTTTTGATAACATTCTTCTTGAAAATAGGTATCTTCAGAATAAGATTTACTTTTTCGTAGGTTTATTTGATCTATTTTTTCTATGTAACTTTCATTGGAGGCATAGGCATAATTCTTTTCATATGTTTGATTAATTGATGTTTCATTTTTTATTTTTTCGTTTGAAGAGTTATATTGGATTATTTCATCACAATAATCATTATTATTGAATGATGTATCATGATCATCGGGAAGATCACTTTTGTTTTTAGTAGATGTATTCATATGATTAAATGAATTTAATTTAACATTTTTTGTGTTTGACGAATTAATAATAATATCCAGACTATTTTTTTTTAAAATATCTTTTTCATCATTTCTAATTTCAAAATAATTTGTTATATTTATTTCACTATCTTCTGTATTTTCGCATTTGTTTTTTATATTAAGAATATTTTTTTCTTCTGTTAAAGAACTACCATGTGAATTATCAGTATTTACTTTTTTACATTTGTTTTCGTTTGTTTTTTGTTTTTCATTTGTTTTCTGAATATTGCTATTATTTTGTTTTAAAATAACTTTTTTTTCCTTTTTTTTTATTTTTCCCTTTGACGATGACTCTTTTGAAGGGCTTAATTGTTTCTTGGAAGTTTTTGTTTTTTCTTTCGAATTATTTTTTATGTCAATGTCATAAGTAAGGTTATTCTCATTAATTTGTTTTACATTTATTTCTTTTGTATTTTTGTTGTCTAAATATTCCTTAATTTCACTAAAAAATTTCTTTTCATCACTAACTTTTCTTGTGTCAATCATATTTTCATCAGATGATGTGCAATTTTTTTGTTTTTTTTTTCTTATTTTTTTTTCTTCTTGATTACTATTAACTGATTGTGTACTTGTATCTTTTAATTTCATATTTTTATTTCCTTGGAAAATATTTTTAGTATCGTCTAGATTATCTGATAATGTTAATGAACGCGTCATAATATCGCTGTGGCTAGTTTTTTTTTTTTTTTTTTTTAATTTTATGTTTTTGTCATCAGATATCGAGCTATTTACAGTATTTATAGAACTTTCTAAGGAACTGTTACTATTAATACTTTTTTTTGATACAATTTTTTTTGTTTTTTTTGCATCCATTTTGTCTTTACTCAATAACTTAGCAGATGAATTTTTTTTTTCATTTTGATTGCAATCAACATTTTCGCTTCTATTGGACTTATTTATAAGTTCATTATCATTTATAGATTTGTGAATCATATTTTTATCAAAAGAATGATTATCATTACTCTTGTTAATATATATACTACAATTATTTATACTACTATCATTGCATGTTTTATCACTAGCTCCGCTTCTAGTATCAAAATCAAGATTACTATTATTAATAAAAACATCATTAGTCTTTTTTTTACGAATAGAATCGTGAGTATATCCTTTTTTATTATTATATTCTACATTCATATTTTTACTTGCTTCATTCTTATTTTCATTAGAATTCTTATGAATTTTATTTTGTTCATTTGTACTCATATCTTTATCATTTTTATTTTCATTATTTACATTAATTGTATCTTCATTTGGATAAATATTAACATCAAAGTTAATATCGTTAAGAGCATTATTTTCATCTTGTATATGATTATCTCCTATATTATATTCATTAAAAATATATTGAGGATAATCTAATTTCAAATTATTTTTATTCATTGTTGTTGTAATATTATTTTCTTGAATGGGAAACATATCAGAATCAAAAATTTCCGCATTACATTTGTAATTATAAAAGTTTGTTTTTTTTTCTCTCATTGAATTATTATTAGGTACGTAGTTATTATTATTTTCCCATAAATCTAATTTAGGATTAATATCAACTTTTTTATCAATAGGGAATCCTAAGTCATCCCTGTTATTTATATTTTCATTCATTTTATAGGAATTTTCACAATTATTTGTAATATTTTTGTGTTCTTCCTGTGTTTTATTGATTGAAATATTACTGCTATCTGATTCCAACCATAAGGAATCATTAAATGTATTCACAGTTGTATCTCTATTTATTTTTTCGTTTTTTACATTTTCGTTATTCGGTTTCTCATTGTTATTTTCAAAGTTGTCAAAAAAAAAATCCATATCATTCATATCTTTAGCTATGTTGTTATTCTTATTTAAAATTCCCTTATCTGGGCGTTTATATGTAAGTTCATCCCATTCATTACTAAAAATAAAATGATCGTCATATTCAGCTTTATTATTCATTTTAATTCATATATATATGTTCTTTCTATTTTATTATTATTATATATATATTTGTATATAAATAATAAATCTTTATTATAATATTTTTATAAGCTTTATTTATTAGAATGCTTGCACATCATAGCATTCTTTAAAATAACAAAAAAAAAAAAAAAAAAAAAAAAAAAAAAAAAAAAAAAAAAAAAAAAAAAAAGTAAAAAATGCTTATAGCATATAAATAAAATAAAAATAATAATTAAAAAAAAAGTAAAGGTAATATGAATGCAAAGAAAATAAAATTGAGAGACATATAGAATAATAAGCATTCATAAGAAACTTTTCTTAAACATTAATTTATTTGCTTTTCTAATAAAAAGATGAATGAAATATAAAATTACACTTTCATGTAACAATACGTATTTTTTTTCATCATTTTAAAACGGAAAAAGAAAAAAGAATTGTATTAAATAAAAATATACTGAAAATTAATGTTCTTAAAGCAAATTTAATGATACTTTAAAAAAAAGAAAAAAATATATTTAAAATAAATTCGCACACATGTTACATAAAGAATAATTAATGGTGGAAAAAAAAGTATTTTTTAATTAATAAATAAGATTAATTTCAAATTAACTTACTAATGGTCATAAACTTTTATAAATTTATATGATATTTAGAATAAAAAAAAAAAAAAAAAAAACATAATAAATTTTTAAAATTACTTATATAAAATAAAACTTACTGAAATCGAAAAATAGTGCTATATAATAAAAAAGGCTACAATACTTAGCAAGTATAACATTATTTCTTTTTGTTAAGTTGTAGCGCCAAATTGATTTTAAGAATTACATGGTGAAAATATGCTAATTTTATGAAAAAATATTTTCTGTAAATAAAAAAAAATTAGAGATTTTAATATAATATTAAAAAATAATAAAAAGACTAAAGAGCTCCATATTTTTTTGAGGTTAGCATCCTATTGAATATCATAAAAATTAGAAAAAGTTTAATTCATGTATTTAAAATAAAATTAAATTATAATAAAATTATTATTGAGACAATTTTGTATTTTTTTAAAAATTTTATTTGGTATATGTTTAGGAATTGATAAATTTTTATATCTTACTCGTTTTTTTGTTTATTAAAAAAAAAAAAAAAAAAAAAATTACATGCTTACAATTTTTTATTATATGCTCATATTTAATTTTAATTAATTATTTTTTTTTTTTTTTTTGGAATTTTTATTTTAAGTGAAAAATAACTTTTTTATTACATAAATAGTTCTATCTGATTTATAATAATACAAATATAGAAATATATCTAAAACTAAAAATTCTTTTTTTTTAGTATATAATTTTAATGGTGTTACAATAAATATCATTTTACTCTTTGATACGTATTCTAAAAAAATTTCTGTAATAAAAAAATTTTCATAATTAATGGTGATATATTATCCATTTTTTATATTATTGAATACTATTTGTAAAGAAACACTTCTAACAAATGTTTATAAAAAAAACCATTAAAGAAAAAATTAGATACATTTTAGTTACTTTGTTTTTCTTAAGTTATATTTTTCTCATTAAAGAAAATGAAGCTGTAAAAAATACAACTAACAATTATTTAATAATCCCATTTAAAGAAAGGAGAACAAATTATTTGGGATATGTTAGTGCAGGAAATTCCAAGTTAAATAAAGAAAATAATGGCTTCATGAAATTCAAAAATGATAAAAATTTTTCCTTGCATAATAAAAAATTGAATTTTAGGAATGGTTTTAATAAAAAGTTAGCTTTTGAATTAAAGGAAAGTTTACAAAATAATATGAATTTAAGTGAAAAAGAGTATGATGTGGCAATTATAGGTTGTGGTGTCGGTGGTCATGCTGCAGCAATAAATGCTATGGAAAGAAATTTAAAAGTTCTTATTTTTGTAGGGGAAGAAGATTGTATTGGAGGAACTTGTGTTAATGTTGGTTGTATACCAAGTAAATCATTGTTATATGCAACAAATAAATACAGAGAATTGAAAAATTTAGATAAGCTATATAATTATGGTATTTATAGTAATTTATTTATGAACAAAGGAAACAATGAAATGGAAAGTAATCAGTTAGTTGCTAATAGTTTTAAAATGAATACGAATAAATTAAAAGAATACACACAAGGAGTTATTAACAAGCTAAGAAATGGAATAGCACACGGGTTTAAAACTCCAAAATTTAGTAAAAATTCTGAACTTGTTCAGGTAATTTACGAGTATGGTGAATTAATTGACAAAAATACTATAAAAAGTAAAAAGAGTGGAAATAAATATAAGGTAAAAAATATTATTTTAGCAACTGGATCAACCCCCAATATTCCTGCAAATGTTGAAGTAGATGAAAGAAGTGTATTCACTAGTGATCAGGCAGTGAAATTAGAAGGATTGAAGAATTATATGAGCATTATTGGAATGGGTATTATTGGCTTAGAGTTTGCAGATATATATACAGCGCTAGGCTCAGAAGTTACCTTTTTCGAATATTCTTCTGAATTATTACCAATAATTGATAGTGATGTAGCTAAGTATTTTGAAAAAGTGTTTTTAAAAACAAAACCTGTAAATTACCATTTAAATACAGAAGTGAAATATATAAAAGCATCCAAAAATAATAGTCCTGTTATCATAGGATATTCAGAAAGAAATGAAAAAAATTACATGTCAGAAGTTAAAGAACTTTATGTTGATAGCTGTTTGGTCGCAACTGGGAGAAAACCGAATACACAAAATATGGGTTTAGAAAATATGAAAATACAAATGAACAGGGGTTATGTTTCAGTGGATGAATATTTAAGAGTAAAAAAAGAAAATAACGATATTTATGACAATATATTTTGCATAGGGGATGCTAATGGAAAACAAATGTTAGCTCATACAGCTTCTTATCAAGCATTAAAAGTAATTGATTTCATTGAAAATAAGGAGAAAAATAAGGTTAATGAATCTTCAAAGAATAATTTAAATAAGCCTATATTATACAAAAATATACCATCTGTATGTTATACAAATCCTGAATTGGCTTTCATCGGTTTAACAGAAAAGGAAGCAAAAAAAAAATACCCTAATAATGTTGGAGTAGAAATTTCTTATTATAAGTCTAATTCAAAAATATTGTGTGAAAACAATATTTCTTTGCATGGAAATAAAGACAATTCATATAACAAAGGACAATATAATACTACTGATAACACCAATGGTATGGTTAAAATAATTTATAAACAAGACACAAAGCAAATTTTAGGGATGTTTATAGTTGGTAATTATGCTTCTGTTTTAATTCATGAAGCTATGTTAGCAATTAATTTAAATTTAACTGCTCATGATTTATCATATATGGTTCATTCTCATCCAACTGTCAGTGAAGTTTTAGACAGTGCCTTTAAATCTATATCAAAAATAAGAACTCATTAAAAAAAAAAAAAGATTTATAATATAAGAATGGATTATATAATTTTTCATATAAGTTTTTTTTTTTTTTAAGTTTTTTTAAAATAAAGTTATTCATTTTTTTATTTATCTATTCTTTTACATACACATATTTCATTCTATACATTTATATTTCGGTGTATTTTTTTTTTTTTTTTTTTTTTTCTATATGTTTATAATAACATATATTTATCTGTTTTAAATTTAATATATATAAATATATAATATATTACTTTTATTATATATTTTTATTTATTTAATTTCTAATTCACTTAAATGTTTGTTTTTTTATATAAAACAAATTATTATATTATTAATTTGACTAAATTTTTATATCAATTCTTATAAAATAGTATACAAAAATTTTAATACTATGTTATCTTTTTAGTTAAATTATTTTTTATTTTTAAGAAACTTATAATTATTAATTTACAATTTCTTTTTTATTAAAGCAGCTTTTAATTTAGTATTTAAATAACAAAATTTAAGTGAATAATTCTGTATAATAACAAGAATATAAAAGAATAAAATAATATAAAATAGTTATTACAAAACAATTAAAAATTTTAATCTATAAAAGTCATGATATTTTAAAATTATAAAAAAAATTTTAATTATAAAAATATAACCCACAAAATTAAAAATATAAATAAATGGATGTTTTATTTTCATATAAATTTTATAAGGGTTTTATTTATGCATTGTTTAACTAATAAAAAAAAAATATATATATATTTTATATATTATTGAGAATACTGATACAATCAAATAAACAAAAAAGATAATATAAACTTAAGAATACCTTTTTTTACTTTTTTTTAAATAATTTATTTGGATAGTTATTTCAATAAAATTATAGTAATTGTGACAAAAAACTAATTTTTTTAAAAATCAAAAAAATTTAAATATTACAAGGCTTGAAGATATTAAAATTATCACAAGAAGTTGAAACTACAACTCCAGAAAAGTATGGATGAAATTTTGCTTCGGTAATAAAATTTTGATTTAAATGTTCAAATAGTAATTGATCAGGATATTTGGAATGAGAATATTCTAAGGCTTCTGACTCTACAGATAAATCCCATATAGTGATTGAATTATCTAAACTTGATGCTAATAAGACATAAGTATCTTTAGAATCCCAACAAACTGAAGTTATTGGTTGTTTATGAAAATTTAATTGAGCTACAGAATTTCGAGTGTTTCTAATATCCCATATTTTTATTAAGTTATCATCTCCTCCTGAAGCTAATAAAAATTCTGAATTTTCATTCCATGATATTACATTGACATCATTTTCATGTGCATTTTCTATATTTATATTTGTATTATTGTTATTATTTAAATTTCTTATATCTAATATTCGAATACTTTTATCTGATGAACATATACAAAATACATTTCCTAAACCATTTCCTTTTTTGCACCATTCTATATCTTCTATACTATATTTTTTGTTTATTTTATTATCAGCATATTTTTTAAAATCCCAATATTCATAATTCCATTTATCTGAATTATGAGGTAACCATAAATATAAATTCCCATCATTATCACCAGTTAATAATTTTGCTGCATAAATATTATTCCAATCTAAGCTAAAACCTTCCTTAGAATGTTTTTCAAATACATGTAATGGTTTTTTTTCTATTTCCTCATTATAGCCACGATCATCCAAATTTTTTATTTCATCAGATAGTTCATATATATACACATTACTATCTTCACACCATGCTGCAACTAAGGAATTTATTTTTTTACTTACTTTTATTTTATTTATACATCCGTATTCATGTTTTATAGATTTACAAATTATGTTGCTTTTTTCATCAAGGAATTCATTTTTCACTTTTTTTTTTTTTTCCATATTATCATGTTCGTTTAAACTTATATCATTTTCCTCTTCATCATCATACTCACTATCATCACTGGAATTTTCTGTTTCACAATTTTTTAGTTTATTTAAATTTGACCATTTAATTACGTAAATATTATTCAATTCGCTTTTATTAGCTTGTGTTCCTCCAACGCAACAAATGTCAATAGGATATTTTAATGGTATATTATTAACTAGTTCGCTATTTGTTTCTTTCTTTGATTTTTCACTGAAATAACAAGATGAGTTTGGCAATATAAAATCAAAAGATAAACATGGCCAAGGTGTTAATGGACTAAAAAACATATCGTAAGCATTTTCATCTATTTCTAAATCTTCATTCATTGTAATAATTTTAAAGATAAAATACAGAAATTGTATAGATTATATATATATATATATATTCATACAAGAATATGTATATAATATAAAACTCATAAAGTGATAAAAAAAAAATTCAAATATATAGAAGATATTTATAAAGTTTTGTTTCTACTGTTGCATCAAAGTGATTTAAAATAGCTTAAAAAAAAAAAAAAAAAAAAAAAAAAAAAAAAACAAAAAGTTATATACAAATTAATATTTTATTTATATATTATATTATTTTTTATCTTTTTATTCCCAATAATTTAAATAAAATTTTTATTAATTTAAATTATATTTCCCTTTATTTATTACTTTTTTTTTTTTTTTTTTTAAATTGATTTAAAATAANTTAAAAAAAAAAAAAAAAAAAAAAAAAAAAAAGTAATAAATAAAGGGAAATATAATTTAAATTAATAAAAATTTTATTTAAATTATTGGGAATAAAAAGATAAAAAATAATATAATATATAAATAAAATATTAATTTGTATATAACTTTTTGTTTTTTTTTTTTTTTTTTTTTTCTTTTTTAAATTAATTAGTGTTCAAATAAATTTTTATGGATAAAATTGGAATGGTTTAGCTTTATATATTTTTAATTGTAACCCAGAAAAAAAAAAAGTATATAATTAGTAATTGAAATGGTTAAAATATCTATTTAATAATTTTTTTTTTTTTTTTTTTTTATCAGGATTAAAATTATGAAAATATTATTTGGTATTAGTGGTAGTATTGCTGCTATTAAGGTTAATGAAATAATTGAAAAATTACAAGAACATTGTAAAACAAATAATATATCTATTGAGATAAAATACGTTGCAACTAATATTGCTTATGAGAAATTTCTGAAACCTTTTAAAGAAAAAGTGTTCTTAGATGAAGATGAATGGTTGTGGCAAAAAAAGGGAGATGCTATTTTACATGTAGAATTAAGAAAATGGGCAGACATTTTTATAATATGCCCTTTGGATGCTAATACTTTAGCTAATATATCCAATGGAATTTGTTCTAATCTTTTAGTTAATATAGCTAATATAAATAATAAAAAATAAAATAATATTATTCCAATTAAAACTTATAATATTCATATATATATATATATATATTCATATATATATATATTTATATATATATTTTTTTTAAGACTTGTATTTGTCGATGTTGGGACTTTAAAAAAACTTTTTTAGTTTTTCCTTGTATGAATACATATATGTATAACCATCCAATAACAAAGGAACACATTGACATAGTTTCATCATGGGGAATAAAAGTACTAATTTAAAAAAAAAAAAAAAAAAAAAAAATGTAAATTTTAACTAGGAAAATAAAAAAGAAAATTATTTTAATAATTATTATTTTACAAGTAATTTTCTTTTATATCTTAAGGTAATTAATCCAATAGAGAAATTATTAGCTTGTGGAGATTATGGTAAAATGTTATTTTTTTATAATTTCTAATTTTTAAAATAATATGAATATATTCTTGATATTCTAAAAAATTTTATTTTTAAAGGTATAGGAGCTTTGCCTAATATAGAAGATGTTATAAATGAAATAATAAAATATTTACATTAATTGGACATTAAAAAAAAAAAAAAAACTGTTAAAGTGAAGTTAAAAAGAACAAAATGATATTTTGAATGTAATTAATTTCTATTTTTTAAAGAAGGATGAAAGCTTATAAATAACAATAATTAATAAAACACATTTTAGTTAAATACCAGATATGTTTTTTTTTTTTTTTTTTATCCAAAAAAATATTATAAATAAACAAATTTCCTGAATATATAAAAGTTATTTCATAAAAAAATATATTTTAAATTTCTTATATATTCTTTTTATATGTATTTTTAAAAAAAAAAATATATATTATGAAATTGAAAAAAAAAAAATTATAATATATATATATATATATATATATATATCAATTAAACAAAAATATTTTATGGAAAAAAAGGAGATAAAAAAAAAAAAAATTATAAGTTAAAAAAAATTAGCAAAGTTGGTTAAATAAAAAGATTAATTAAAATATTTCTACATCTTTAATTACTAAGAATATTCATATATAATATTGATTTAAATGAACTTTTTAAAATTTTAATGAATTAAAATAAATAAATATATATATATATATTTTAATATATATGTATTTTTCTTTTAATTAAATTATGTTTTTTTTAAATTATTAATTCTTTCTTCTAAATTGGAAATATTTACATCTTCATTTTTTTCATTTTGAATTGTATTTACTGCTGGAATTTCCTCTAATTTAGAATTTAGTTGTATTCCTAATTCATCTAAAACCTTTGCAACAATTTCATCTTCTTCTTCTATCATATCAATATCATAATTTAATGTATCAAACAAATCATCTAACATATCTTCCTTTAATGATACTTCATTATTTTGTTTTTGAAATTCATTTATAGATGAATTTATATCTTTTAATTTAAGATAATTATTAACTCTTTTAATTAATTTGTTTATATCTTTTAAACTTTTACTTAATTGTTCAGATGATTTTACACTTTGTAATTTTATTTTCATTGAGAATAAGTGAGATTTAATTTTACTATATTTTGAAACAGTTTGCCTAATTTTAACTAAATCTTTAGCTAGTGTACGAACTAGTGTAATATCATTTTTTTTAGCATATAATTTTATATTTTTTTCAATTTGTTTTTTTTCATTTTCCAATTTATATATCTCCCTTTCTAATTCTCTTATAGATCTGTTTAAGTTTCTTTTTTCTTCTCGTAAACATTCTTCTAAATTTTTAGACGAAAATATTCCCATATTAAATATAATTTAAATTATCTTAAAAAAAATTTTTTTTTTTTTTTTTTACTTTTGAAAAATATTTAAATTTATTTATTTTTTAAATACATTCATAAATATTTTATAAATAAATTACTTAATTTTTAAGTATTGGTTTTTTTTTTTTTTTTTTTTTTCTAGTAACAATTAAATATATGAAATTCATAATATACAAAATTCTTTTTACACACTTTTCTCAAAATATATTTCCTATTTTCATGTATATTTTTTACAAAATATTTTCCTTATTCTTATTTTATTCTTTTACTTTTTAATGATTTTATTTATTCCCATACATTTCAATTTATTTTAAATTTTTTTTTTTTTTTTTTTTTTTTTTTTAATTAATTATCTATTAAATAATACATATTTATTTTTAATTTTAACAATTTTTTCATTCATATTTTTGTTTGTTCTATGATACACTCATTCAATTATTTAAACTTTTCATTATGCTAATATATTTATAACTTATTTATCCATATATCTATATATTAATTGCTTGATTTAAATTTTAGTGATGAATAGTTAACAGAAAAGTTCTTTAATTAAAAAAAAGTTATAATTTTTTTTATAAATTTTAACAATATATATATATATATGAATAAGTTTAAAAAAAGGATAAAAAAACAAAAAAAAAAAATTAAAAATTGTATACAAAATTTTTTTTTTTTTCATAATACTATGTTTTTTTTTATGTTAGACATTTTCATCTTTTTTTAGATATATTTTGAGAAATATTATAAGAAACACCTTCATATATTTTATATAATAAATAAATTAAAAAAAAAAAAAAGTATATTTCTTTTTTTTTTTTAGTTTTTATGAATTGATTTTTTAAAAAAATGAATTGCTAAAATTATTGTTACATTGTTATACTTTTAAAAAAAAAAATTTTTATATTAGATAAAGATGTTATTTTTTTTAAAAATTTTGATTGATTTTTATAATTTATAGATATAATTAAATTTCTGTATACTTGAAATGTTATATCTACTTAACCATTAATTTTTAATATATTTTTATTTATTCTAAATCATGGATTTTTTAGTTTTAGTGTGTGTAATTTTTTTTTATGTAAATAAGTTCTTTCTAATTACTTTTTTTAACAATTTTTCTAATTTGTTAATAAAGTGAACTAAGTTCACACAAAATATGTATTATATGCATATAATAAATATTAAAAAATTGTGTACTATTTATTTTTTTTTATTTTAGCACAAAATTTATAGAGAAACTATGAGAATTTTGTAAAATATGTTTTAAAAAAAAAAAAAAAAAAAAACATGAAGATTATAAAAAATTTGCATCTTTATTTTATTGACATTAAGGATGTTACAAATAATAAAAGAAAAATTATAAAATTTTTTAAAAATTTTCAAGGATTTTTATTTATTAATATGTATTCAAAACATAATGAAAAAAATAACAAATGGATATTATAATGAGTATATAAAGAGTGTCCTATACATACTCTTTAAATTATTTATAATTTTAATAATATCTTTGATTTGTGTTAATATATGACTGATTCTGGTAGTATGGTTGTTGAATAACTGTAGATTGGATTAGCGGTTGTTGCATTAAGGTAGGTTGTGATATCATTTGAGATTGTAAAACTTGTGGTTGCATAATTTGAGATTGTAAAACTTGTGGTTGCATAATTTGAGGTTGTAAAACTTGTGGTTGCATAATTTGAGGTTGCATAACTTGAGGTTGTATAACTTGAGGTTGTATAACTTGAGGTTGCATAACTTGAGGTTGTATAATCGCTGGTTGCATTAAGGTATGTTGTGTCAACATTTGAGGTTGCATATTTTGAGTTTGTATAATTGAAGGTTGTTGCATTATTGTTTGTTGATGTTGTTGATGTTGTTGATGCTGTTGCAATATATGTTGCATATTTCTCATATCATTTTCCTTGTTATTTAAATTATTATAATTATTATTATTTTTTCTATAATTAAATATATTTTTATTATCAGTAGGATTAATACAATTATTTATTTCATCAAAATTAGAATAGTTGTATTTTTCCATACCACAAGACATACTTCTTCTTTTGTCTGTTTTATTTTTATGATGATTTGAATTCTGTTTTTTTGTTTTTAGACCATAATAATCAGAATATCCATTTTCATAATAATTTTTTTCTTTATTATAGGATTCTTTATTATATAAATTATTTAATTCATTTAATTCATTTAATTCATTGAATTCATTGAATTCATTTAATTGATTTAATTGATTTAATTGATTTAATTGATTTTTACTTTTATTTATTTTTGTATATTTATTGTTACTATCATTACGATATTTCTTATTTTCTTTTTTTGGGTTAGAATTTTTTGAATAATTTGAACTATAATTTTTTTCTAAATCTTCATAGTTTTTTTCATAAGAATGTAGGTTTTTTTTTGTAGATTCTTTTTTATTATATTTTTCTCTTTTTTTTAGTTCGTCTCTTTTTTTTTGTTCTTTTTTTCGTTGTTCTTTTTTTTCCTGTTCCTCCCTTTTTTTTTCTTGTTTTTTTCTTTTTTTATTTTCCTCCTTTTCCATATCTATTTTGAATTTTTTTTCATTTTCTAATAATTTCTTATATCTTTTTTTTTTCAATTCTTCTTTTTCTTTTTTTTTTTTTTCATATTTGATTTTCATAATTTTTTTTTTTTCTTCATTTCTTCTTTTTCTTTCTAAATTTTCTTTGTATTTTTGATCAATTAACTGTTGATCTTTTTGAAATCTTAAAAATATTTTATAAAATAATCTTCTTATTTTTTTTGATATTCTTTTTATAAATCTCCATGTTTTACGTGGAATTTTTTTTGTTACTCTAATCATATCGTGTATTTTCCATAATAATAACATTCTAAATGTTTTCAAATTATGATACCACTTTAATTTTATTATAACATTTTTACAAAGAGGAATGCTAGGAATAACAAATATAGAAAAAACTATGAGAAATAAAATAAATATAATAAGTTTTATAATATTTTCAGATTTTGTTAAAAAATAAATAATTTTTTTTTTATAAATTAGAAATGTATCTTCTATATCTTCTAGAAAATCTAATTTTTTTAAATGACTTTCAAAAATTTCATTCGGTACATCAAACTTAAGAGTAACATTTTTAATAATATTCTCATTTTCTTCTTTCTTTATTTCATTTTCACTTATATTAAATAAAAAGTATTCTTCATTACTATTGTTTTTATTTAATCTTTTTTTTTTTCCTATTTTTTCATCCTCTGTTTTTTTGGATATTAAAACACTACAAGGAGTTATTAGAAGATCAACAATTGGTTCAAATTTTATAGTTACTGTATTTTCGCAATTTTTACATAAAAATATTGTTTTTTTTAATTTAGAAATATCTTTAACAATTTGTTTTTCACACTTAATGAAAATATTTAATTCCTTATCTATATTTTCTTTGTTCCATATACTTATATATATAGTACAAAATTTATCTAATTCATTATTAAAATCATAACAATTACTTAAACTGTGAATAAAAGAAACAGATTCTCCTTCATTGTTTTCTTCAAAAAATATATTTAACTTTTCATCATTATATGATTTTATATTAATAAAATTGTGATTTTGTTTTTCTATACCAAGATAATAATTATCTTCTAGAAAATTTATAAAATCTTTTGATTTATTTATCATATTTCTAAAATTCTTTTCATTTTCAAAACTTGCTATTTTTTTCTTTTTCTCATCTAATTCATTATTTTCATTTTTGTCTATTTTAACATTTTCTTCTACATTTTTGTTTTCATTTTCTATATGTTCATTGTTTTCTTCTACATTTTTGTTTTCATTTTCTATATGTTCATTTTCATCATTTTCATCATTTTCATATTTTTCTTTATTTTCATTATTTTTATCATTTTCATTATTTTCATTATTTTCTTTTTTTATTTCACCGTTTTTCGTTTTATCTATATCATTCTGTAATTTATCTTCACTATTAATTTTATTCAAATGTGATTTTTTTATCATAAAAAAAGAATAATTATTCATTAATAATTTTTTAGGATCTATTTTTTTTTCTAAATTTAAGAAATAATTAAGTTGCTTCTTGAAGCAATCATTTCTTTTTTGTAAACAAAATCCTTTTTTATGTTCCCATATAAATGGATATGGAGTTAATTTATTACATTCTTCTCCTTTTTCATCAATTTCATCAGAATTAACAATAATAGAATTCTCTAGAATAATATTGTCTTAATATGAAAAAAAAAAAAAAAAAAAATATTCAAATATTAAAAAATTTTGTTTTAAATAAATTGTAATATTATGCAATATATTTTTTTCCTAAAATAAGAAAAATAAATACCTGTAAAAGAGTCTTTTAATATTATCTAAAATATATAAATAAATAAAAATGAAAAAAAAAAAAAATAAAATGATAGAATATTTATGCTATATTATGAATAAAAGTAAATTAGTTTTTTCATTTTAATTTTATATTATACTTTTTCTTTAAAGGAATCTATATCTATAAAAAGATAGCTTCCTTCAATGGAATCATTCTAATCAAAATATATGAATAATTTCATGCATTTATAAACACAAGAATTAATATCCGTTGATTAATTATTTTTTTTTTTTTAAATAAATATGTTCTATTTACTTTGTACGTTTTTTCAACATTAAACTTTAACTTTACATTAAATATTTCTAAAAAAATAATATTTTATTTCATTAATACATTTTTTAATGAATATTTTTTTTTTAAATTATCTTTTTTTTGTTTCTTTAAAACCATCATTAATTTCAGAATTAGAAGGATCTAACAAATATGTCTTTCTTTCTAATGTAGATTTATCCTATTATAAGATCAAAAAAAAAAAAAAAAATAAAAAAAGTAGAACTCTTAAAAAAATGTATTTTTTTTTTAGTTTTTTAATTTTTTTTTTAATTTTTACATTTATATTTATAAAATATTCATCATTTAAATCTATGTAAAAGAAAGAAAGAGGAAATTATGTTTTTAAATTTATTATATTTTATTAGAAGATTAAGAAGATACCAAATTGCTGTAAGGTAACATTTAACATAAAAAAGTTAGAATTTTTCTGAATAAAAAATCCATAATATTTTTTTTCACTTTTTTTTAAACAAGATAGTTTTAGAACATCTTCTTGAGCTACATAAAAAAAGTATAAAAAAAAAAAAAAAAAAAAATAGAGAAAAATTATTTTACTTCTTATAAATAATGTAAATTATTAAATGAAAATTTTTTTTAAAATAATAAAAAATATAAATATTCAAATTGTAGATACCCTTTTTACTACTATAAAATTTTTCTTTTTTATATTTTAGATGTGAAAGTATTGGGAAAATAAGAGATTGGCGGCCATAACAACAAAAGCAATTTTGTATTTTATCTATATTTTCATATATTTTTTTTTTTTCTTTACAAAATTCTTTTAAGTTTTTTTTATTTATATCCTCTTTTTTAAATGATATTAGGCTTTCGTAATATTTCAAAGGTATATCCTTTTGAAAAAAATAAAAAATAATGTCATATTTTTTATTATTGTACTTAATTTTTATATTAGTAGATAATAAATTCTAAAACATTGTTGACTAAAATTTAAAGTTTTTTTTTTTTAATTATTAACAAAAATATATTTAATGGGATAAATAACAGTTGCTTGATAAATTTCTTCAACATATAAAAGAAAATTTTTATATGGAGATTCTTCGGCTCTATGAATTACATATCTCTGTTTCTATTTCATTTTAATCATAAATATATAAAATATGATATTTATTTTACTCATTTTTTTTTATTCTACTATATATATATATATATATCATTCTATTTTATTTATATTTTCTTTTTTTTCATTTTATCTTTTATTAACATTCTTAAAATATAAAGTATAAGAATTGTCTTTGTTAATAGACTTTAAATTTTCATTGGATATTAAGGAAATACTTAGTAATAAAAAAAAAAAAACGAGATAATTATTCAGAGTACCCATGTAGAACTTTATTATTTTAAATAATTTTGTTGTATTATATTTTATATATAATCTTTTATAATATTAAATTAATATTTAATAACTTAATAAATTTTATGTTTTTACAAAAGTCATTTCTTATAATCTAAACATTATTACTCATATTTACATAAATGAATTTCTTTTAAAAAAAAAATATAAAAATTGCATAAATATTTTTTTTTCCTATAGTTATTTCTCCTAATATTTTTATTATTATTATTATTGTTTTTCTAATATGTTATATTATTAGAAGTTTTATTCAATATAAAAACTTATATTATATATGAATACAAAAAAAAAAAAAAAAATACTTATTTTTTAAAATTTCATTACTTTATATTTTAATAACTTCATATTTATAGATAAATTTAAGAAGCATATAAAAAAAAAAAAAAAAAAAAAAACATTGAGAAAACTTTATTATTACTCAAATAAAAATGTGTGCAAAAAAAAAAAAAAAAAAAAAACTTTTTATTAGCACTTTAAGGAGTTTCATATTTAAAAATTTTGATTTTAAATAACATTATTAAAACAATAAAAAAGATGATATTTTTCATATACAAATGTATAATCTTTAATATTTTTTTTAGTAAATTTTAACAATAACCTTTTAAATAAATATAAACTTGTCTAAAAACAAAAAAAAAAAAAAAAAAAGTAATATATATTTTTAAATTTTATAAAAAGAAAACATTTTGAAATCATGTATTTTTAAAACTTTTTTTTACATCTGTCTTTAATAAAATAAAAAAATTATTAAGAAAAAAAAGTATATTATATTTTTTAATGTACTTTTTAATATTTTTGGGATTCTACAAATAACATTAAAAAAAAAAGAGATAATTATTTATATAAATTGTTACATATAATTTTATAAATATTAAAAAACTCTTGTTTATGTCTTTGAATAATAAATTCTTTTCAAAACATGAATAAGGTAATAGGATTTTTTAAAAAAAAAAAAAAAAAAAACAGTTAAATTTTAAGGATTTACATACATTAAATTTTTAATTTTTTATTCTTTTTACTTATGAAAAAAAACAAATTGAGGTCATATATATATTTTTTTTTTATTTCAATTTTAAGAATTTCAAAAGAATAAAATTATTTTTATACACACTAAACTTCGAGAATACATTAATTTTTTTTTAAATTATATATATAAATATGTTGATTTTTAATAGTCTTATAGAAAAAAGCTGTATTCTTTCTTTTTTTTATTTTATTATTCTCATTTTTTAATTCTTTAAATATGAATATTATTACAAATACGTATAAATTTCATAAAAAAAAAAAATAAAATAATACAAAATAAAAATTAAAAAATTATAAATAATAAAACAATTCAAAAACTAAAAAAGTAATAAAAAAAAAAAAAAAAAAAAAAAAAAAAAAACATAAAGACTGAATAATTAATGTTCAAATAGGTTAAAGATGCATATAAAATTTTTTTTTTTATTTTAAATTTACTTTTATTTTTTTTGGTAATTTTTATAATTTTTCTTAGGTTTTCATTTGCATTGGTTTTTTTTTTTTTTTTTTAATTTAAGACTTTTGTGATAAAATATGCAAAGATATTTACAGAAAGTTCTTTTAAATGCTTTTAAAAGGAAAACAGGTAATGGCTTTAACTACCTGAGTATAAATTACTTAAACAATTTTTGTACTGATAATGTTAATAATTCAAGTAAAGTTTTTCATATGAATAAGAAATGCATAACACGATATTGGGCCGAAAGTACAAATAAGAAAATTCATGATTCAAAAATTAATGAATGGAGAGAACAGTTTAAAATTTTAGCTGATTATGATGACAAAGATTTAATGATATGGAGAGATTCTTTTAATAAAATGGATAAAGATAAAGATAATTTTATTTCTCATGCTGATTTGCAAAAAAGTGAATGGAGTTTAGAAAAATATAATTTATTTCAAAATTATGACATGGATAAAAATAATTTAATTGATTTTGGAGAATATATACAAGCAGTTATTGATATTGACACACAGTATTTCAAGAATTTTTTTCAGGGTTTTAGTAAAATTGATATAGAATTGGAATTTCAAAAGTACGCTAGTAAGATGAATAATTTATATATTTACTACATTAGTATAAAAAAAAAAAAAAAAAAAAAATGAAATTTAAAAATATAATTATTAATAAGGAAATATATATATTAACAGTAAAATAATATTTTTTTTTTCAAATTTTTAAATTTAGTTACTGAAAAGGAAAATAATAAAAAAGTAATTCCCTTATCGAAGTTAATGCAAATGATAAAAGATAAAGAATTCACATGTGTGACAGAAACAGATTCCCTTAAATTGTTTAAATCGATGGACATGAATAAAGATGGATCAATAGATTTTGAAGACTTTCTTGCTGTATACATATGAACATAATAAAAAATATCTATATATATATTTATAAATATATATATATATATACTTATCATATATTTAAATAAAGGGAACTGCAATTATAAATATATACATATTTTATGCATTTTAAATATTAAGTATATATATATTTTATTTAAAACTTTGATAATTTATTATATTAATATATTTTTTTTTTTTTTTTTAGTGGTTAGGAAAAGAGTAAAATTGTCTTTTTGGTAAAACAATAAGAAAATTTATTTTTTATATTTATAAATACTAAACAGGTATTTTATAAAATAAATTTTTATAATATTAATGTAAATACTTGTTTGAAGTCATATATATTTTTGTTTAGAAGAACTAAAATGAAAATTTTTTCAATGTTTCAAATAAATTTTTAATTCTCTATGAATATTTTATTTTTTTTTCCATTATTATTTTTATATATTTTTATTAGCTATCAATTTTTTTTTACCACTTCGTTTTTCCTTTTTTAATTACATTTATATTTTTTATTTCTACTTTGTTTTTTTTTTTTTTTAATAATTATACAACATATGTAAACTAACATAAAACCCATAAATTTGTTTACGAAAATTCTTCACTGCAATTACATTAATAAAATAAAAACTAAGAAATATAAAAAAAAAAAAGTAGTTGTATATTTGAAAATAAGTAGATTTAAAAGATTTATTTTTCAGTAAAATAAAGAAAAAAAGTTAAAGAAAAATAAAGAATGTTACTAAACAAAATACATGTATTAATAATATTTAAAAAATAAAACATAAATTTACTTTGTACAAAGAAAACAAAAACAACTATTATTTTTATGTAACTTTTTTTTTCTCTGTCTATTAATTTTTAAACTATATTATCATGTATAAAAAAAAAAAATTCTATAATCAAAAATAAAAATTATGCAACTCATTTGATTTCTTATCCAAAAAAAAAAAAAAAAAAAAAAAGAATATTTTATTACAAAAATATAAAGTGTGTAAAGGATTATAAATAACACTTTTTAATGAAGTATCAAATAAAAAAAAAAAAAACATGAATATTAAGAAAAAGTAGTTACTGCGATAAAATAATATAAATTAGTAGATAAAATCTTCTGTTTATAATTTTTTTATTATTCATTAATTCATTATTCAGTATAGCTTCTTATTTTAGGTCTTAGACATTGTTTCATCAATAAAAAAAAATGATAAATTTGTAAATCCCATTTTTTTCTTTGGCATAATTTTCAAATATAAATAGGAAAAAAAAAAAAAATAGTGGAATGAGGAAATTATTCCATGTTAAGAAAATTTGTATTGTAAATTACTGTATGAAATGAAATTACATTTTAAAACTTCTGATAATATTATGTAAATGTGTGTCATTTATGTAAGAATAATGTAACTTATTAAAATAAGCCATATATTTATTTTAGCGAAATATATATACATATATATATGAACAAGTAAGAAATTAACTTCATATAATATTTCTATTTTTTTTTTTTTTTTTTACAATAAATATCGTGTGTAAAAAAAAAAAAAAATAGAAGTCCTATTATCTTTTTTCTTTCTGTAAAATTTCTTTTATTTCTTTAATCCTATTATTTATTTAAATTAGCTTTTTTTTTTTTTTTTTTAAAGAAAAAAAAAAATTAATTACTATATATATATATAGAATATTTAAGAGCTATGCAGATTTGAGATTGACGTTTTCTTTTAAAATGCTGTTTCCTACTTTTTAATTTTATACAACTTTTATTAGTCTTATTTAATTTTTTCTAAATTCCTAGAATTTTTAAATAAAGAAAAAAAATGGACACAGTGTAAAGGAAATAAAAAATATTTGAGTTTTATAAAAATAGTGCATATTTATGTTGGTGCATGAGGTTTTTTTTTTTTTTTCCTATTTCTTTATTAAAACAGAAAAGACCTTAAAAAGATTTTTTTGTTTTTACTCATTGTATTATTTTATATATTTCTATCTTAATAATTTTCATTTTTTTTTATTACCTTTTTCCAGAATATATATTTATTAAAAAAAATTAATATAATTTTATGTTTTTTAATTTGTTTTTATCATTTAAAAATTTTTAATATAAATATAATTGTAAATTGATATTTGCTACATAATTTTTATGGAAAATTTTGTTTTTTTTTATTTTTGAATTATATAAGAAATTTTAAAATTTTCTGTCATAAAAATTAAACAAAGTAAGGGTGATAATAATTATATCCCTTTCATTTAAGCCTTTATTTGTGCCTTTTTTTTTTTTTAATTACAACTTTCTTTTAATTTTTTTTGTAACAATGAGTTGTTTATGTTCTTGTTCTGGTGATAATGGGGAAATAAAATTGGACCATGATTATAAAATGGATATTGTAGGAAACTAAATTTTCACTCTAAATACTGTTTAATGATATGTTTTATTTTTATGAATTATAATCTTTTTATGCTCATAATTTATTAATACAATTTCTGTTATATATAAATATTATATATAATTATATGAACAATAAATTTAGACTTACAGAAATAATTGTTCCTTTGTTTATTATTTTATATCCTTTATGTCATTGATATATTTTATTTAAATATATATATTTTATATTATTAATTAATATTTGGTGGGACTGTCTATATTATATATTATGGGACTTAAAATTTTACTTGAATTTTTTTTTATAACATATTTTTATTTGATAATTTTTATTTATTATTTTTTTTTTTATTTAATTTTTTTAGAAAGAAAAACCATCTGTACCTAAAAATAAAAATGCTTTAGTTGATCCTAATACTGTTATTGAAATAGAACCGGATAAAACTTTGAAGAAACAAATAACTTTTAGACCTAAAGTTGATATAATGTTTGATTCAGATAAATGTCAAGCTATTTTAGTTTTAGATATTCCAGGGTTTAAAAGTGATGACATAGATGTTGAAATAGGGGATGGAATATTAACTATTGCGGGACCTAGATCTCAAACTGAATTGTTTGAAACATATGGAGATAATTTAGTTTTGCATGCAAAAGAAAGAGAAGTAGGTTATTTTAAAAGAATTTTTAAATTACCCAATAACATACTTGATGACACAGCTACAGCTATGTACAGAAATGGTTAGTACAATAAGATATATACATTAAAATATGTACAAATTTACAATAATCCATATATTTAGAATATTAAATGGGTTATATAAAACTATATATTTTTATTTTATATAAAAAAATAGATTTATATGTTTAGTAACTTGAGTAGCACTATTAAATCTTTTATTAATTTATTTTTTTACACTTTTTTATCCTAAAACATTTTTACATTTTTCTTTTTTTTTTATTATATAGGAATTTTGGAAATAAAAATGGAATGTAAGCAATTCTCAGATGTACATAAAGTTGAAATAACTGAAGGTTAAATAAAAAAAGATAAAAAATAATGTAACCCTTAAAAATAATTGAACTATTATAAATAAAACAAAACAAAATTATTTTAAGAAAATTTGAATTTGCACAAATAGAAGAGTATTCCCTTTTTACTATTAAATTTATATATATATATATTTTTTTTTTTTTTTTTTTATTTCATTTCATTTTATTTTATTTTATTTTTTTTTTTTTTTTTTTTTTTTTTTTTTTTTTTCAACTTTTGATTATAAATTTATTCCATTTGGATATATTCTTTTTTTTTTTTTTAATGCACATTTCATTATTATATATTATATGTTTTATTTTTTTGTATTTTTTGTTTTATTATAATATTCACTATGTCTATATGTCACTTTATGTCTATAATTCCATATTATATACCTCGATTAAAATAAAAGATAAATTTAACATGTTAAATGAAAATGTTCAAAAATAATAATATTTATATTAAAAAATATTTTTTTTTTTTATTTGTAATATATCATTTGTTTAGTTATAATACTTTTACTCCTCTTATCTTTCTTCTATATAAAATTAGTATATATTTTTAATTAGAATAATATATATTTTTATATTGTTAGACGATAATGTTATTTTTATTTTCTTCTATATTAATTTTTGTTTAAATTTTATCTGTCTTTAAAATTCCATTTTATATATTATCTTAATAGAATAAAAACAACTAACTTCATATTTCATTATAAAAAAAGTATTCTGAAGTTATTCTACATGTTTTTTGTTTTATATATTTATTTTATTACTTGCTGTAAGAATTATATGAAAAAGAGGAAATCATATATTTCAAATATTTCAGAAGTAGATATCGTTCATAAGTTTTATAGAAAGTTAAGTTTATGTTTCTACAAATTATCATTTTTTTTATAAATTGCGAATTCAAAAATTTATACGATTTTTTGGTTATTAAAAAAAATGAGAAAGTGTTAAATTTTAAAAAAAAACGTTCAAAAGAAAATTTAAAATTAAAAATTCAATATTATAATTAAAAATATAGCACTAAAAATGAAAAGTATAAAAATATGTAAAAAAAAAAGAAAAATTAATATGTATTAAAAAATAAAAACATGTGCCTCAGCATAATCATGAAGTTTTATTAAAATGATTAAAGTTATTTATAAATAGTATATTAATAAATAAAATAATAATAAAAGTGAATAAATATATATATATATATTTTTGTCTTATAATAGTTAAAAAATGAAATAAATTATTATTTTTTTTTTTTTTTATTATTTAATTTATTCTTCAAGTAAAATTAGTACCTTTTTGTTAAATTCTTAATTATGTCTCTGGAATTTCTTTTTTTCAAATATATATTTTAAAATAATTAATTTTATGAAAGTATAATATGGAAATTTCTGGAAATAGTAAAATTAAGATGTTCATACAATTCAATAAAATAAATAATATTAAATGTTAATATAAAGGGTAAATAGCTTTTCATAATAGTATTGTTAAATTAATCCGTTAAATTGGTTAAAAAAATATTTCATTACAAATTTCTTGCACTTGCTTTTTACATATTTATTCTACAATATTTATTTAATAAGCATATTTATCAAATTATATTTTCATATATTAAAGATAAAGTTTATTTAAAAACAGTATGTATATATAAATATATGAATATTAACCGATGCATATATATTAAGTTTTTGAAAAATGCAGTTTTTGGTCTTTTAAAGATACATGAATTGTATCATTTTCTACAAAGGTTTCATTTAAAATACGAACTGCAATTTCAGTTTCTATTTCTGATTGTATAACTCTTTTTAATGGCCTAGCTCCAAATGATGGATCATAAGCTTTATCTACAATATAAGAGAAAACAGCATCATCAATGGTAATTTTAAAATTTTTATCAAACAGTCTATTAGCTACCTTTTTAATTTCTATATTTGCAATTTCTTTTAATTCTTTTTTAGATAAGCTATCAAAAATAACATGATCATCAATTCTATTATAAAATTCCGGTCTGAATGTTTCTCTAACAGATTTCATAACTTGGTCTTTTATTTTTTGCTTTTTATTTGGATCATTAGCTAATTCTAAAATACTCTGACTTCCCAAATTAGATGTAAAAATAATAATAGTATTTCTAAAATTAGCAACATTTCCTTTTGTATCAGATAATTTACCTTCATCTATAACTCTTAATAATAAATTGTATACATCAGGATGTGCTTTTTCAATTTCATCAAACAAAATGATGGAATAAGGTTTTTTTCTAACAGCATCAGTTAATAATCCACCTTGTTCATATCCTACATATCCAGGAGCTGCTCCTATTAATTTACTTATAGAATGCTTTTCCATATATTCAGACATATCAAAATGAATAACTGCTTCAGGTGTATCAAATAGAACATCAGCTAATACTTTAGATAGTTCTGTTTTTCCTACTCCTGTTGGTCCTAGAAACATTAAAGATGCTATTGGTCTTTTGGGGTTATTCATACCAACCCTAGATCTTTGAACAGCTTTTGCTACAATCCTTACAGCGTCATCTTGACCAATTATTTGTTTATGCAATTCGCTTTCTAAGTTTAGAATTTTTTCTTTTTCTGATTTTAATAATTTATTTAGCCTTATTCCTGTAGACATACTTACAATATTTACTATATCTTCACTTGTAACTTCATCTTTTAATAACCTATTTTTTTCGGGTATGTCATTTTGATAATCTTCTTCTGCTTTTTTTAATTGTTTTTCCAAGTCTGGTAAAGTTTCAAATCTCAATTCTGCTGCTCTATTTAAATCAAAATATCTTTCTGCTTTTTCAATTTCTATTTTAACTACATCAATTCTTTCTTTAATAGCTCTGATGTTATCAACATAACTTTTTTCAGAAGACCATGAGTCTAGTATTTGTTTTTGTTCCTTCCTTAATTCATTCATAATTCTGTCTATCATTTTTAATCTGTTAATTTCTTTTTCATTTATTCTTTTTTTTAAAAAATTTGGACTTTTCGTGTAATCTACAGTTTTATCATCACTATTACTATTGGAATAGTTCAAAAAATTTTTTTGTTTATCTCCTAAAATGGAAATTTTTTCCATTTCTAATTGTATGAGTTGCTTTTCAATATTATCTAATTGTATAGGTTTACTAGATAATTGAATTTTTAGGTTTGAGGCAGCTTCATCTATAAGATCAATAGCTTTATCAGGTAAAAATCTGTAACTAATGTAACGGTCTGATAATACAGCAGCTTGTATAAGAGCAGAATCTAAAATTCGAACTCCATGATGTACTTCATATCTTTCCTTTAATCCTCTTAAGATACTAATAGTTTCGTCTACACTTGGTTGTTCTACAAGAATTTGTTGAAATCTTCTCTCTAAGGCTTTATCTTTTTCGATAAATTGTCTATATTCACTAACAGTTGTAGCACCAATACATCTTAGTTCCCCTCTGGCTAACATAGGTTTTAAAATATTACCTGCATCTAAGGCACCTTCTGCAACGGCTCCAGCTCCAACTACGGTATGAATCTCATCAATAAACATAACAACTTGTCCTTCAGCATCTTGGACTTCTTTTAGTATAGATTTTAATCGTTCTTCAAAATCTCCTCTATACTTTGCACCTGCAATTAAAGAGGATAAATCTAATGAAACTAATTTTCTTCCTTTTAAAGAATCGGGTACATCCCCTTGTACAATTTTTATAGCCAGTCCTTCTACAATAGCTGTTTTTCCTACACCTGGATCCCCTAATAAAATAGGGTTATTTTTTGTCCTTCTTGATAATATTTGTATAGCTCTCCTTATCTCATTATCTCTTCCTATAACAGGGTCTAATTTTCCTGCTCTAGCTAATGCAGTTAAATCTCTGCTATATTTTTCTAAAGCTTGATAGGTCATTTCTGGTGTTTTTGAGGTAACTTTTTTTTTTCCTCTAATTTTTTCTACAGCCTTTTTTACTTTTTCATAATTTACATTATATTTTAATAACCATGGTCTAGTAAATTTAGAATCTTCTGATATGATACTTAACAATAAATGTTCAATTGAAATATATTCGTCATTAAATTCTTTTTTTAATCTTTTACTTGTACTTAAAACAGTTTGTAAAGTTCTTCCCAATATCTTCTGTTCTCCAAATCCACTTGGCATTTTTGGTTGTTTTTTTAAATAGTCATCAATTTCTTGAATTAATAAATCAGTATCTATCCCGCTTTCTTTTAATATTCTTTGTGCTAACCCTTCTGGTCCATCATTTAAAAGAGCTAATAATAGCATTTCTGCTTCTACATATGCTGAATCATATTTTTCTCCAATTTTATTTAATGAACTAATGGCTTCCCATGCCTTTTCAGTATAATCATCAGAATTTATCGTATATTCTTCATCACTCATGTAAAGAATAAAATTATTTTTTTTTTTTATACTGTTATCATTATTATTAATATTTTTTGTATAATAGTTAAAATCTTTATTAAAAGAATAATTCAATCGCCCCTTAGAAGTGTATATTTTATTTGCTACATTTTTATCTTCCTTTATTTTTGATTTGTAATTTTTTTTTTTTTCTGCTAAAAAATTTTCATCATTTTTTAAATGATGACCAATAAATGCATTTTTCTTATCAAAAGAATTATGTGTAATACCTTTTGAAGAAGATATAATTTGCCTACTTGTAAAAAAACTTATTTTTTTGTTTTCTATATTTTTCCATACAAAAATATTACCAATTAAAAAAAAAGAAAGAAAAAATAGTTTAAAATTTTTTATGTACATCTTTTATTAAAAGGAAAAGAAACTTTTAATCAATATATATACATATATATATATATTTTTTTTATTAAATAATTCATTCTACTAAAAGAGAAAAACTAATTTATTTCTATACATATATATAAATTATTATAAAATAAAAAATATATATATTTTTATTCAATAGAAATAAGAAATACGTAGAATGTATATACGTTTCATTATTTTTCTTTTTCTATTTATTAATATTTGCTTTTGTTGTATTTTTTGTTATGATTTTAAGTGTTAAAATTAAATAAAAAAACCATAAAGAATATAATACATATTGAATTTGATAAGTATGAAATATTTTTCAAACAAATTATTTTAATTATAGATTTATTTTTTTTTAAAGTATATTTTTTATTTTATATATATGTATATATATATATATTTTTTTTTTTTATTTATTGTATTACTCTTAATTTTTTATTTATAGTTTACTTCAATATTTACATTTTTATTTTAAATAAATATATATATATATATATATTATCTCTTTTTAAATTTTTATTTATTTTATTTTATTTATTTTTTTTTTTTTTGAGAATTTCTAATAAAGTATCACATCTAAAATAAAAGAAAAAATTATTTAAAAAAAAATAAATATATTCAAATAACGAATATTATAAATTATTTCTTGTCAAAATTTTATTCAATTATAGTGTTGGTGTATAAAATAAACATTATTTTTTCTGTTAATCATATTTATATTTCATTTTTTTATGAAACCATCCGAATATTTTATTGTATTTTTGTATTCTTAATGAAATAAAAAGATAAACCATATTAACTATAATTAAAACGAAATCAAAAGAAAAATATAAGAATTAATTGTATAACATAAAAAGATGGGAATATATATTTTTAAAATTAATTTATTAAATACAAATCTTATGAATGAAAAATATTAAGAAATTAAAGAAATTTAAAAGAAGAAAAAAAAAAAAAAAAAAAAATCAATAATTCTTTATAATAAAATTTTATTAAAATATATATTTTCTTCTATGTTTTCTAATAATTTATTATAAAATAAAGTAAAATATACTCTTGTAAAATAGAACTATTTATATAATTAAATGTATTTGAAAAAATGTCTATAAAAAGTATATGCTACTTAGGAGAAAATGATGAAGTTTTATTTTTTTATTCTACTGAAGAAAATGAAGAAATAACATCTCGATTCTCAATTTATTCTACTTTGAATAATATTAAAAAATTAAGTAAAAAAAAAAAAAATTAAGGGATATATATTTATTTTAACAAAAATTGAGATTTTTACATATTTTTGTTTTATTTTTTTTATTATGTGTAGTTGATAATAATGAAAAAAAAGGAAATGAAAAGAAATATGATCCATATCTTGGATATGTTGGTATTAATCTTTCTCTCTTTAGTTCATATAAAAATTATGCTTATGTGATTAAAGTTATTAATTTTAAGATTATTTTAACTGTTGATGATAATAAAAATAAGTACACTGATGATATCCTTAAAGATGTAAATATTATTTTTATATTAATTGAAATATTAACTATATTTTTTTTTTTTTTTTTTTTTTTTTCAATTTTACATTATTACGTTCTATTAATTTCTTTTATGATTTAGACACATTATTAAAATATTATGAATTTCTATAATTATTATTTAATTTTTTTTAATGGAATATATTACTGTAATTCACTTAATATTTTATATTATTACAGTATATTTTTATTAAAACATAATATTTATATATATTTATATATATATATATTTAATTATCTTATTTAATTTTTTCTTAGGTTTTTAGAAGATTACATAAAATTTATGCAGATGCAGTTTGCAATCCTTTTTATACAGAACATTTAGAAACTCCTTCTTTTTTAAAGAAAATTAGTAATTAAAAAATTTTTAAGTACAAAAAAAATTATGTTTATTTTTATCTTTTATAATTATATTTTTGTGTTTTTCTTTTTAGAGAAACTAATAGAAACATCTTAGTATTATTTAATCAACAGTAATTTTTTTTTTAATTATTACGAGAATATATACTTTTAATCTGTTGCATCAATAATACCCGTATCTGACCTGAAAAACGAAGAAGGGAAAATTATTTATTTATTTATTTATTTATATATTTTTTCTTTTTTTTTTTTTGTGTATCTTAAAAAAAATATAAATATTTGATTATCTATTATATTCTGGTATATATAATTTTATTATTTTATTTTTTTTTTTTAACAATTGAAAAACACATTCAACTTCTGGAAGGTTAGGTGCATCATAAACTTTGCAAACTCTTTGGTCTCCTTTTCCTTTTCTTAATGACAATCTGACTGTTGATGCATGACCAATAACATGACCTCCAACTAGAAAAAAAAAAAAAAAAAAAAAAAAATATATGTACATTCATATATTTTAGCCTTCATTATTTGACTTTTTTATGAATATATAAAAATAGTTAAATATTTCTGAACATTAAGAATAAATAAAAAAAAAAGTTATGAACAATTAAAATTAAAATTAGAATGATAATTTTATTATTAATATTTCGTAAAAAAATATGACATAAAAATATATAAAAAAAAAAAATATTATAATAGTTAAAATAAAGATTAATTATATAAATTTATCAACCAGGTTTCATTGGATTAGCTATAAATGTCATAGTTGCACCAGGATCTGACATGACTTGATTTGTTATTAAAATAGCTATATTGAATTGTTCACCCAATTTAGATAAAATAGACATTGTTTTGTTTAATTTCTGTTGTCTTTCAGACAGTTCACCTAATGTACAAAAAGAAAAAAAAAATAAATAAATAACATTTAAAATTAATAATTTTTAATTAATTCATTAATGTAATTTAAGTAATAAAAAAAAAAAAAAAAAAGTAAAAAATAATAAGAATTATAACCTCTTCCACTGAAATCGACTCTAAAGAGAGAAATAATAGAATCAACAACCAATAAGGCAAAAGGTTCTTCACACATCTTTATAATATTAATACAAATAAAAAAATACATATATTTCAATATAATTTATTTTTTAAACGTATGAGTAAAAAATAAAATGTAAATTATGTTTTTTTTCAAAATATAACTTTCTTTTTTAAGGAAAAAAAAAAATTAAAAATTATATACATATGTAAAGATAAATATATGATATTTTAATTACTTTTGCTGCAGATATAGCTAATAATTGATATAAATGTTCATGTGTAAAAGCTCTAGCATATAAAATATTATCTAATACAGCTTCTCCATTTAATCCATATCTTTCTGCTATTTTACATATCTTTTCAGGTCTGAATGTTCCTTCTGTGTCGATATAACAAACCTTATTTTTTAATTTATGAAAAAAAATATATAAATATATATAAAAACATATATATATATATATATTTTTTTTTTTATAGTATTTTATTGTAATATACTTTTCCATTTCCTCCATTCAAATTTTTTGGTAATTGTGCAGTAACAGTTAATGTATGACATATCTGAGTTTTTCCACATCGATTTTCTCCAAAAAGTTCTGTAATAGACATACTTTCAATTCCTCCTCCTAAAGTTTGATCGAGAACTTTACTCCCAGTTGTTATTTTTAATACTTTACTTCTTTTTTGAACCAATTGATTTGCTGTTATAAAACTGGAACAGTTTTCAATTTTTGAAGCAACTTCTAATATTTTATCAACTTTAGTTTCAGATATACCTTTGACATTACATAATTCTTTTTTTGTTGATTGAATTAAAGATAATATTGTGCAATATCCACTTCCTTTTAATTTGTTTATATCTGCTGCATTTATACCTAAATCTTGCAATTTTTCCTATAAAAATAGAATAATATATTTATAAAAAATCATATAATAAAAATATATATAGAAAAATTTACATATTATATATATGTAATTAAATTACAATTTCTTGAAATTGTTGTTCTTTTGCTATATCTTCTTCAATAGAAGTTGCTATTGCAACTTTACTGACAGATTTACTTGCAGGTAAAGTAGACATTTTTATTTACAAAAAAAAAAAAAAAAAAAAAAAAAAAAAAAAAAATAAAAAAAAAAAAAATTAATGAACAAATATTGGTAAAAAATTACAATATATGTATAATATTTTACTAATATGTATTAAAAAAAAAAAAAATTAATTTGAACAAAAATGAAAAGGATATTATTTTCAATATACAAATAAGAGGTCAATTTATAATAAAATACTATATTTAATAATTATTAAAAAAAACTTCCAGTTTTTTTTTTTTTTATATATGATCAAATATATGATTATGGAAATATACACATATTTTATTTTATTTTTTTTTTTTTTTTTTTTTA